GGATACTCAAAAGTTTGACCCCTTGTGGGGGAGGTAACAGAAGGAATGGTCCGATCACTACCATCTTTATAACCAATCTTCTGTTTATGGAAATATTGAGATGTGCCAAGTATTAATAAAATCGAATGTTAATTTTCGTTCTGTTAACTCCCCCTTTGTGGGGGAGGAGTGGACCGATATATTCCATTTTCACCCCAGACCTTGGGTTAATAAAAATATTGGGATGTGTGTAATTTCAAGAGAATTGGACTCTTACATCACATTTTATAAGAGTTATAATTATTCAGAATTTGACCATTTGTGGGGGCGGTACTTGATGAAGTGGGCCGATATTGTCCATTTTCGTACCTGACCTAGGACTGATGAAAATATTAGTATTCGCAAAGTTGGAGCAAAATCGCATAATCGTTTCTCGTTTTGTGCAGTAAATTATTTTTTTTTTTGACTATGTTGAACTTTTGTGTGGGAGGTACCAGAAGGAGTGGACCGATATTGCTCATCTCCAAATTTGATCTAAGTTTGACAATATCATTACGATGTACCAAGTTTGGATCAAATTCGATTCTCCCTTCGAGAGTTATCGTGCGCACCAGCCAGCCAGACGGATGGATGGACACCAAATTTCCTGAAACGGATTTGGTACAAAGAGACCAAAGGTCTAAAACCGGATATATACCCTCTCTCTAGCCATATGACTGAGGGTATAAAAAAGCTTGTAAACATATTATGGCCTGAACTTACATTTCTTATTCTGCCGTGGTTTTTCCTTATTCAATCTGTTTGAATTAATTGGAATGTCCGAAAATATTTCATATCTAGCAGCACACCCACACCCACTTTACACATTTTTTCCATATTTTATCAGGTGAAAATCTGTCATGTTTTCATATTTATGTCTCGCATTTGACGTCATAGCTATAAAACTTAGAAAATCTATAAACAAAAAATAGCAGCAATTCTAATAAATGTTCGATATATCACGAAATTGCTGTTTGCTTTTAGAATATATAAATGTGTATAAGCGAATATTCAGAGGTTGGAAATAATCAAAAAATTCTGAAAATGGACAAAAGGATTTTAGCTGGAATTGATAAATAAATATGAGGTGTGTTCTGGTTACCCTAAAATTTGTAACAATTTTTACAAATTGTTACAAAAGTCTTTATGTGTGTTGTTTCTCTTTCGAGACGTCTGTTAACCCAAAAGTTCTGCAAAAGAGAGCGTTTGGAGAGAGAAATTTTGACAGTTCTTTCAGTGAGAGTTTGCAAATTCTTGCTGGACAAATTTCTTCTTGCAATCACTTGCAACTCTTCTTCTTCTTCTCATTCATCGACATTCAATCAGATGTTTTTAATTGTTTTTTTTTTTTTTTGTTTCTTTCTGTGCTTTCAATTTGAAAATATTGTTTTTGGAATGTAGCAAAATGTAATAAGAAAATAAAAGACTATTTCCAACGTTTAAAGACAAACGCCATTAGCAACGCGTTTAAAGGATTCCGGGGAACACAATAATAATATCTTTCTATTATTGCTCATATTCTTATTTTATTGCTGATTCCGGGGAACACAATAATACTTTATTTTTATTATTGCTCATATTTTTATTTTATTGCTGATTTCCTTATTATTTATAAAACTTGTAAAATTGGTGGTGCTTCCTTTCTTTTAATTCTTTTAACAGGGGACGAATTGGTTTGTTTTGGCAAGCTTCTGCGGGAATACAGTCTGTTTACTTTTCGCATTTTCTTTTCAAAAGAGAATAAAACTACCTTACTCTCTCAGAAAGATGTTTCTAGACAATTTCTGCATGAAAAGTAACCAGACACATCTGTGGTGGGATTCTCTAACGCTTTTTTTGAGTAACCGACAAATATCGGTAGAATTAAAACGCAAAATTATGAATGAAAAGTCCAAATTAAAGTTGACAACATTGTTGCTATCGGTAGGACTCAACGACTACATCGTTTTGGTCGGTAACTTGATGAAAAATATCGTTAATTCCGAAATTATAAGGATTTACATTTAACCGATTTTTGTCGGTAACTCGAAAAATGAGTTAAAGAATCGCACTACTGGTTGGCTTTCTGTGACAGCTGTGTCAATGCGACTACCTGTATTTTTCTACCATGGTGGTGAGGAAGACATTAGGTGTGTCTGGTTAATTTTTCCTGCAGGAATTGTCAAGCAACTTCTTTCTGAGAGAGTAATGGTGAGAATACATAAAACGGTTTTTTACCGCCTTAAGGAAACGACTGGCTTCTTCGTAGAGAAAAAAAGGATTTTTAGGTTGACTTAGTTCGATTTTGGCTCTACGCTCCTTTTTGCTTTCCCGAAGGAAAGTTAGGAATATTTACGGAATATATCAATAAAATCCTCAACTCCTGCGTCAATACCATAAATTGTCTGCAATTCATGCAAATTATTTATTAAAACTTAACAAGATTCAGAGCGATGCAGGCAGGTGGACATTCCATTATACACATAAACGATATTTCTTTAGCTCCCATTGTTTGGGCTTCTATTTCTTTTAAAACATTTTCAAATACCATTTGTTCGTATGTATGTGTGTGTGTGTGTGTGTTTTGGCCAGACACTTGTTTAATAGCCTGTCGTCTCTGTTGTCATCATCATCAGCAGCACAATACCATTTAGTTGCCTAGATCAGACACAGAACTCATACACAAATATAAATACCTACAGACATACTATTTCAGATGCACTTGTATTGGATAATTGATTTTTGTAGCAAAAAAAAAAAAAAAAAATATTTCGCTAAATAATACCTCATACAACCCTAAAACTACGTATGCTGTTTAGTTAAATGTTCGTAAAGGCGTGTGTGGGTATGTGTGTGTGTGCGAAATGTTTTTTGGCAAGGCCCAGCATTAAAAATCAAGGGTTTCTACTAAAAGCTAATATGAATAGATAGAAACAATTTTATTTTTCCTTTTTTTTGAAAGTACAGTCGTGTATGTTTTGGGGTATTAAATTTTGTTATATAGAATTAAGGTTACATTTTTTAAAATTTTATTAAAACAAGTAAAAAAACACTACACCATAGGGTAAAAGAAACATTTGAACCCATTATGACCCACAAATTCCAATTTTTATTTAGACATATTCATGGGAAAATGTGACAAAAATCATCAAAATCCCGATATTCGGCATGATGGCCTAAAAATACAAATTTTCAGACAAATCAGAAAAAAAACCATCAAAATACCGAATATCGAGAGGTACCGTTATGTGGAGGCTATACCAAATCGTGGACCTATACATACAATGTTTCGCCACCGAAGCTAGAACCCATTACGACCAACAAATACCAATATTTACACAAATTCAAATACCGAAAAACCATCAAAATACCGAATATCGGAAGGTACCGTCATATTGGGACTATACCAAAACGTGGACTTACGTGAACGACCGGAAAGTCAGACGGACATAGTTAAATCGACTTAGAATTTTATGGGGTCTACGACGAATCTTTAGGTATGTTACAAACGGAATGACAAAGTTAATATACCCTCCTTTCCAAGGTGAATTGAAAATTGTGACCCTTTGTGGGTGAGGTACCAACAGGGGTTCGCAGACATATATGATCTTCACAACAGATCTTCTGTTAGCAAAAATATTTGTGTGTGTGTGAAATTTGAAGAGAGTTGGATGATTATTTCACTTTCTTTTTTTTGAAAATCTTAAACCCTATTTGGGGGAGGTACCAGAAAAAGTGGTCCGATCTCTATTATCTTTACAACAGATCTTCTGTTGATGAAAATATTGAGATGTGTCAAGTCTGAATGGAATCGGATGTTATTTTCGTGTTTTATGAGCTTCATGGATACTCAAAATTTTGACCCTTTGTGGGGGAGATAACAGAAGGAGTGGTCCGATATATTCCATCTTCACAGCAGATCTTGTTTTAATAGAAATAATAGGATGTGTGAAATATGAAGTGAACAGGATGCTTTTTTCGGATTTTATGATCGTTTTGGTTATTCGAAACTTTGACCCTTTATGGGGGAGGTACCAGAAGAAATGATCCGATCTCTACCATCTTTATAACAGATCTTGCGTAGATATAAATATTTTGATGTGCAAAGTTTGAATGGAATCGGATGTTAATTTCGCGTTTCATGAGTTTCATGGGCATTCAAAATGTTGACCCTTTATGGGGAAGATACCAGAAGGAGTGGACCGATATATTCCATCTTCACACCATACCTTGGATTAATAAAAATATTGTTATGTGTAAAATGTGAAGTGAACCGGATGCTTATTTCGGATTTTATAATCGTCTTGGTTATTCGAAACTTTGACCCTTCGTGGGGGAGGTAGCAGAAGAAATGGTCCGATCTCTTCCGTCTTTATAATAGATCTTCTGTTGATGGAAATATTGAGATGTACCAAGTCTAAATGGAATCGGATGTTATTTTCGTGTTTTATGAGCTTCATGGGTACTCAAAATTTTGACCCTTTGGGGGGGAGGTGCCAGAAGGTGTGGACCAATATATTCTATCTTCACACCAGACCTTAAGTTAATAAAATTATTGTAATGTGTGTAATTTGAAGACAATCGGACTCTTAGATCACATTTTATGAGAGTTATAATTATTCAAAATGTTCACCCTTTGTGGGGGAGGTACTTGACGGAGTAGACCGATATTGTCCATTTTATCACCTGACCTAACACTGATTAGGATTTGCAAAGTTCGAGCAAAATCAGATTATACTTTCTCTTCCTGTGCAGATTTTTTTTTTTTTTTTTTTTAATTTTGACCTTTTGTGGGGGAGGTACTAGAGGGAGTGAACCGATATTGCCCACCTATGAACTCGATCTAAGTTTGATAATAATATTACGATGTACCAAGTTTGGATCAAATCGGATACTCCCTTAGAGAGATGCAGATGCCAATGCAAAGCCTCGACTTACAAGTTATTATTTAAACAGTATTTTTATTTTAAAATCAATTTCAATATTTTTTTTTATATCCACAGAGTCCTCTTGGCCAAGGAAGCCAATCCCGAAAGATGGGAAAAGGAGGTTGCACCCATGGAATATCATGACAAAGAGAGACGTGCTAATGCAGATATATGGCATGCTGATTTGGTGAATATAGCCCAATATCTACGTGGTCCTTGCAAATTGGCTGAACGTTTTTCGGAGGAGCTGATTATGCAAGTTGTTGGAATTCTAGAAGTAAATGCCTTTGAGGGACGAACATTGCAGGGTCATTCATTCCGAGCCCTGTATCCGATAACTGGAATTCTCTCACACAATTGTGTGCCAAATACAATGCGCAGTATTTATCCTAGCGAGGATTATAGGTATGTAGATAGAAAACTGGATTGTTCTGGATATGAATATTAAATTATTTTTATTTGCAGAATACGTTTACGTGCCATGGTTGACTTGGAGCCTGGACAACAATTGCAACATTCTTATAGTTATACCCTTAATGGCACGGCACAACGGCAGGAACATTTGAAGGCTGGCAAATACTTTACCTGTGATTGCAAGCGCTGTAAGGATCCCACTGAATTGGGTACGAATTTTAGTACCTTTAAATGCAGTAAATGTGAAGATGGTTGGCTACTGTGTCGGGATCCGTTAGGTATGAAGAACTGAAAGAAGTAAATTATATGTTATTTAATTTCTTTTCTTTTATATTTTACAGATACTAACACCGAATGGAAATGTACCCTGTGTGAATTTAAAACCTCAAATGCTGCGGTGCAAAAAGCCCTCTCTGTAATCCAAGCCGAAGTAGCCGATGTTCAGGCCATGCCCATGTCCGGCGAACGTCTGCAAGAAACTGAAACACTTTTGAAAAAATATCGTGTCGTTCTACATCCTCTGCATAATATACAAATATCACTGAAACAGAACCTCATAGAGATGTATGGTCGTGTACAGGGTTATGAAATGGTTGAATTGCCTGATGTCCTGCTCGAACGCAAAGAAGAAATTTGTCGTCAAGTTCTGAGAGTATTAAATGTATTTGAACCGGGCTTAAGTAGAACTAAGGCTACAATATTGTATGAGTTACATGTACCAATTGTGTTGTTGGCCAAGAGCGGATTCATAGCTGGTGTTTTGGGCGGAGATAAGTTAAAGGAGAAACTCGAAGAGGCCATTGCTGTGCTGAAGGAATGTGTCGATACGCTACAGCATGAGGATCAGCAATCACATGAAGGTGTTTTAGGGCTGGTGGCTAAGCAAGCTATGGAACAGTTAATGCAAAGTGTTGAAGGTTTAGAAGGTGTTTAGGATCCTCAAAACAAATCCTTAATATCTTAATCTACTATTAGTCATAAAATTTTGTTATATTAGAGTTTATTTAAATTTTTAATTCAAAAAAATAAATATGAACATTAAATAGGAATTTTTGATTTTTTTTGTAATGATTATTTTTTTGCTATTTTGAAAATTGATGCAAGACCATAAACATAAATGCAAGACCAATAAACGTGGATTTTTTAAAGAATATTTTTTCAGGGACCTTTAAACCAATAACCGTGGATTTATCAAATCCTAGTATTTGCATCAGTGCTAGGTCAGATGCGAAAATGGACAATATCGGTCTACACCATCAAGTACCTTCCCAACAAGAGTCAAAATTTTGAATAATTATAACTCTTTTAAAATATGATTTAACTGTCCAAAATTACACAAATCGCAATATTTTTATTAATCCAAGGTGAGGTGTGAAATTGGGATATATCGGTCTTCTCCTTCTGGTACCTCCCCCACAAAGGGTCAAAATTTTGAACATTCATGAAGCTCATAAAACGCGAAATTAACATCAGTTTTCATTCAGACTTGGCACATCTCAATATTTCCATCAACACAAGATCAGTTATAAAAATGGTACAGATCGGAACAGTCCTACTGGTACCTTCCCCACAAAGGGTCAAAGTTGTGAATAAACAAAACGATCATAAAAACCGAGATAAGCATGCGGTTCTCTTCAAATTACACACATCACAATAGTTCTGGTGTGAGGACGGAATATATCAGTCCACTCCTTCTGATACCTCCCCCACGAAGGGTCAAAATTTTGAATATTCATATTCCATTCAGACTTGGTAATATATATGTAATATGTATTTTTATCAGTCTTAGGTCAGATACGAATTGATCATTAAAGAGCATACTTTTAGGCGGGTAAAAACTAACATTATCGATTCCAAAATATATAGAAACAAAAGATATGTAGTCCAAAAATATAACTTAAAGTATTTATTTCAATAATCATATTTACAATCGAAAGGCAGTTAAGTTGCATTATATATTCGGTTTAAATATATAATCCATGGATAGTTGAGAACATGTTTTATTGTTAGTAATTTGTTTTTCCATCAGTTTTGTTTTCTTAACGGTTAAGATTTCATCATCAGTATCGCTATCATTTGCCGATTCTGCATCCGACGCATTATCTTGCTCCGAATCATTATTTTCTTCGGCCTCACTGGCCTCACTTTCTGAATCCCGTATTGTTTGTTTACGTTTTTTCTTCTTTTTGGGAGTTTTACGTTTCGGCGTTTTCTTTCCCGTCGTCGCCGCCACCACTTTGGATTTACGATATTTATTCCAAAATTCAGCCGGCTGGGCATAATCCACTAGATTTGGAAATCTTTTATATAAAGCTTTGCAAAGATCATCAAATGAATGTTGCACCGTTTCATCATACTTGTGGATATTTTGATAGATGGTGGGTATGAAAATCAACGACTTTTCGAGCAGTGTCATCTGAAAAGGTGTGTTAAAATATTTTTTATACTCAATTAAATTAAAGGTGGTCTAAGGTGACTTACAGCTTCTGGCATTGTTAGTTCCTTTTTTCTTCTACCTCGTCCAGGTCCATTGGCTGGAGCATTTTTACTGGGCGTATTGTTTGCATTGGTTTTTGCATCTTGATTTGTTTCATTTAACTCGTTGATTTCAGCCAATACATCATCTTCATCTTTCTTGTCGCCGCCATCAGCCTCCGTTGTTTGTTTTTGTTCCTTCGTCAATTGACATACCTTTTTGAGAATGTACAGGACATCCTTGACAAGAGCTATACCTTCCGGTTCTTTTATTAAGGGATCGGATTTTGATTTCTCTGAAAATTTAAAGGGTGTTAGATATATACAAAAAAATGTTATTCATTCGAACATCGTCATAAATAACACTTGAGGACTTATTTTTTTATTATAGCAGTTAAATCAATAGTTTTGTTTTTCAACATCTTGAAGCCAATGTGGGGGAGTTACCAAAAGAAATGCTCCGATCTCTACCATTTTATAAAAGATCTTGTGTTGATGGGCATATTGAGATGAACCAAGTCTGAATGATCAGATGTTATTTTCGCGTTTTATGAGTTTCATGGATACTCAAAATGTTGACCCTTTGTGGGGGAGGTACCAGAAGGAGTGGACCGATATATCCCAGCTTCATAGCAGATCTGGTGTTAGTAGAAATATTGTGATGTGTTTAATTTGAAGAGAACCTGGTGCTTATTTCGGATTTTATGATCATTTTGGTTATTCAAAACTTTGACACTTTTGTGGAGGAGGTACCAGAAGGAAGAGTCCGATCTCTTCCATTTTATAAAAGATCTTGTGTTTATTAGAATATTGGGATGTGCCAAGTCAGAATGGAATCCTTCTGGTAGGTCGAAATTTGAAAAAAATATAGTTTTTGCACAGAAAGAGAAAGGATAAACCGATTTTGCCCCAACTTTGCAAATCTTAATATTTCCGAATGTGTGAAAATGGACAATATCGGTCCACTCCATCAAGTACCTCCCCCACAAATGGTCAAAATTTTGAACAATTAAAACTCTCATAAAATTTGATGTAAGAGTCCGATTGTCTTCAAATTTCACACATCCCAATAATTTTATGAGCCTCCCAAGGTCTGGTGGTAAGATGGAGTATATCGGTCCAATCCTTCTGGTACTTTCACATATCCTACTATTTTTATGAATAAAAGATCTGGCAGTACGACGGAATATATCGGTCAACTCCTTCTGGTACTTCACTCACAAACGCTCAAAATTTTGAATATCCATGAAGTTCTTAAAAAGCGAAACCAACATCCGATTACATTCCAGACATGGTACATCTCAATATTTCCATCAACACAAGATCTGTTATAAAGATGTTAGAGATCGGACCATTTTTTTTTTTTTTTGGTACCTGCTCCACATAGGTTTCAAGATTTTGAAAAACATAACGCGCAAAGAAAGCGAAATAAGCATTCAACTCTCTTCAAATAGAACTGTTTTGAAGACGCTATATATCTGCGAACCACTTCTGGTACCTCACCCACTATATCTCTATATATGTCTCTAAACCAGAATCCTGAGGTGAATATGGAAGTAATGATTTCCCATAAATGGGATATAAATGTTCGATTCTCTTATATATTCATAACAATATTTATATCATATCCGATACGAAATGGACAATATTGACCCATTCTTTCAAAACCTACTCCATAGATGGTCAAGAGTCAAGAATAATCATAGCAGAAGTCAAAATATTTTAAAATAATCGAACATTGGCTGAGGGTATACATCTGTCGGCAAAACCGATCGATACTTTTTTTACTTGTTTTAATTCAACTTCCTTCTTCAGGGGACATATTCAATATAAGCTTAAAATATTTCGCATTTTTATAAAAGTTGTTTTTTATAACTATGTTCGAATTCGATATTTGTTTTAATTTTTTTACCTGCTATTAATTTCAATTGTCCAAAATATAAGACCATATTTATGTCATCCATATCTTCCATTAGATGTTTGTATAACAGCTGACGACGTTTGCGATGAGATTCACCTTTAAGGGGAGATTTGATAAATGCTTCCGAGAAGCTATCCAAGCCATCGAAATTCTGTAAAAACATGGCAAATAAATGTATTAAACAAATGCTAACTCCCTTAAATTCCACACAATTACCTTATATTCATTAAAAACAAAGGGGCATTCGATGAGGCACTTTTGAAATAATGTTGCATTTTTCTTTGATAGAAATTCGGCGAAAAAGTCTGCTGCTCTTTTGGACAAATCTTCACACTCATCTAGAAGGGCTGCCAGTAATGCCAATAAAATTGACCCTCTTAGCTTTATTTGATCTTGCAGCACAAGTTTCTCAAAACACTTGAATGTTTCCAAACGATTAACATCATAGGGTGATTTCAATTTACGCAGAACTCTATCCACAATACGTTCCACAACTTGGGTGTGTTTCTTACACAAATCCGTCAATGAAACAATAATTGTATTTACAATTGGTGGCTGATCGTTAATGGCCAGAATATTGGCATACAATGCACAAGTAGTTGTGGCAACACAACCATCTCTTAACGACAGGCGTCCTGTGATTTGTATGATACAATTGAAAATTCTTGCATTGTCCAAATCCATTTCGTTTTCCCTCATTTTAATGCATTCACTCATGTATTTGTGTAGAAACATTATTATGGTTGAGTCGGGCCGCAGACGTGTTTGCAAATTCACTTCGGAATAGGCAAATAATTGAGACATAAATGTATCACGATTATCGGGGAAATATTGTATGCCATTTAGAATGTCATTTTCTAAATGTTGATGTAAGTCGAGAATCCATTGGTGGCAGGATGAGGAGGAAGTATCCATCTTGTGATTTTTATTTTTCCCCGTTGTATTGGAACGATTGTCAATTAATACCAGAAAATCAAATGCTTTGCCAATAATGGTCGGCAGTAGCTGTCCATTTTTAATTTGAGTTAGTATATGATTGAATGCATGATTTAGAGCAGTATGAGAGAAATCCTTTATACAACTAGCCAACACTTCCAAAGCTATTAACATATTTTGTTCCTTATTCCACTGTGAAAGAAGAGAGAGAGGAGAGAGGGAGAGAGTTAACCAAAATGTTATTTAAACAAGTAAAATAAAACAGATTTATACCCCCAGCCTTGAGTTATGATTATTCAAACTGTTGACCCTTTATGGGGGAGGTTCGGAATCAGTTGGCCAATATTGGCCAACTCGCATCTGACCTAAAATTGATAAAAATATTACAACGTGCCAGATTTGGACTATATCGACTACTTCCTATACTTTGTATGAGATATGTGCACATTTTTGGAAAATGTGGAAATATGCGTGAGGTAACAGATATAGCGGATTTTCATGCTTAATCTAATACAGATAAAAATTATTGGTATGTGCAATAAATGAAGGAAATCGAACATTTATATCCAATTTTATGCGAAATCATAAATTTTAATAGAATACATATTTATATCAGATTTGAGGCAACAGAAGGAATTGGCAGATAAATATCATCTTGTGTTAGCAAAAATATTTGGATGCGGTAAATATGAAGAGAAAGAGTTGGATGCTTATTTCGCTTTTTTTGAGCGTTTTGTTTTTTAAAAATCTTGAACCCTATGTGGAGGTACCAGGAGGAATGGCCCGATCTTTTCCATCTTTATAGCAGACCTTGGTTTAATAAAAATATTGTGATGTGTGTAATTTGAATAGATCCGGATGCTTATTTCAGATTTTATGATCATTTTGGTTATTCAAAATTTTGAACCTTTGTGGGGGAGGTAACATAAGGAGTAGACCGATATATCCCGATTTCACACCAGACCTTGGGTTTATAAAAATATTGTGATGTGTGTAATTTGAAGAGAACCGTTTGCTTATTTCGGATTTTATGTTCGTTGTAGTTATTCAAAACTTTGATCGTTTGTAGGGGAAGTACCAGAAGGAATGGTCCGATCTGTTCCATTTTTATGACAGATTTTGTGTTGATGGAAATATTGAGATGTGCCAAGTCTGAATGGAATCGGATGTTATTTTCGCATTTTATGAGCTTCATGAATATTCAAAATTTTACCCTTTGTGGGGGAGGTACCAGAAGGAGTGGACGAATATATTCCATCTTCACATCAAACTTAAGGTTAGTAAAAATATTGTGATGTGTGTAATTTGAAGAGAACCGTTTGCTTATTTCGGATTTTATAATCGTTTTGGTTATTCAAAATTTTGACCCTTGTGGGGAGGTACCAGAAGGAGTGGTCCGATCTCCACCATCTTTATAACAGATTTTGTGTTGATGGAAATATTGAGATGTACCAAGCCTGAATGGAATCCGATGTTAATTTTGTGTTTTATGAGCTTCATTGATACTATTTTGACCCTTTGTGGGGGGGGGAGTACCAGAAAGAGTGGACCGATATATTCGAATTTCACACCAGACCTTGGATTAATAAAAATTTTGTGATGTGTGTAATTTGAAGACATCGGTCACTTACATCATATTTTATATGAGGTATTGGATAGAGTGGTTCGATATTGTCCATTTTCGCACCTGACGTAGCACTGATGCAAATATTAGGATTTGCAAAATTGAAGCAAAATTGGGTTATCCTTTCTCATTCTGGGCAGTTAATTATTTTCTTTGAAAAAGTTGACATTTTGTGTGGGAGGTACCAGAAGAAGTGGACCGATATTGCCCATCTCCGAATTCGATCTAAGTTTGACGTTAAAATTACGATGTACCAAGTTTGGATCAAATCGAATACTTCCTTCGAAAGTTATCATCCGCAGACAGACAGACTGACCGAAGGACAACGCTAGATCGACTTCAAATGTCCTGAAACGGGTTTGGTCAAAAGAGACCAAGAGTTTGTGTGGGAGGTACCAGGAAGAGTGAACCGATATTACCCATCTCCGAACTCGATTTAAGTTTGACAATAATATTACGATGTACCAAGTTTTAACCAAATGGGATACTTCCTTCAAGAGTTATTGTGCGCATCAGCCAACCAGACAGACGGACAGACGGACATCGCCAGATCAACTTCAAATGTCCTGAAACGAATTTAGTCCAAAGAGACCTAGGGTCTAAAACCGTTATTTCGATGAGGCACGTTTTGGCCATATCAAATGATATATACCCTCTCTGGCCATATGGCTGAGGGTATAACTAGCCATTAAGTTGAGGGTATAAAAAATTAGATGATCTTACAGATTGTAAAGTTATAAAATGATGTAGTAAAGCATCGGGTTCTCGGCTTTTCATTTTACTTGCGATGAAGTTTAAAACAATCCAGGCTTCGGTGGAATTCGATGTAAGCAAATGTGACTCAACAATGTCGACCATTTGGGAACTGAAAAGAAGAATTTTTTAAATATATTTTTGATGATATCAATATGTTTTTTTCTAAAACAACCCAACATACCAAATTGACTTGAGAATAATATTTTAATAAGCTTTCAAAAATAAGCCTTAAGCTTGAGAAAATCTTGAGAATGTATTGAGAAATGCTTGTTTAACAATTATAGAATAATCGAAAGGGAACCCTTATTCATAAGCTTATTCTTGTAATTGCAGAATAAGCTTACGAAAGTAATATTATATCAAGCTTATTTTTTCAATGGTATAAAATATTTATTTTTTAATTATTTTACACATTTCATTCATTGATCGCCATCCCAGCTGTCGCTGCCTCCTGTTGCATTGATACCTAGATGATTTCTTTCTCCTTATTTGAGCTTCCGCATCTCCTCCACTAATTCTTCACTTCTCTTGAATTCTTGCAACTTTTTGACGCCTCTATTCTGAAATGAGATTGAAATAATATACACTATAGATTCCCAGATTTATTATTCATCATTACCTTAGAGTTTCGTCCAGAAATGGGTCTTAAATTCGCGTGATTTTGATTTTAACCAAAGAAAATATTTTTTTTGTCGACAATTTTCACAAAAAAAAAAAAAAAAATCAAAACAAATTTGTCAACAAAGGACAGATTTGAGAAAAGTTTATGCAAAAAAGTTTTTCTCTAGCATTGTTGAGGAATTCTTACGATAAACTATTTTCATAATATTATTCTCAAGCTGTATTGTATTTTTGGTATGTTGGGTTACTTTCTTAGCCCTTTATAGCCTGACTTTTTTCTTTTCAATGAAAAAATTTTATATGTTGTATTTTAGGACCCTTAACAACGTTTGTTCTACGACTTTTCACAATTTTGCGTTTTGGACATTTTAGGGGAGGTTTTGTGTGTTGGTTCTTTGAAGAACCACCAGGCTCTCCTTTGACAAGTAGAATGCATATGGCTTATATATGATTTTTTTTTTATTTTCATTTAAATTATATATGTATTTCAGTTCATTTATTCAATGTTTTGTATGATATTCTAGAAAGCAGTTTTTTGTTGATTGGTAACATAATTCTACCTCACATTTAATGCAATACACTGTTGTTCTAGATGTGCAATTGGGCATTTTACAACGAGGTTTGCCTGTTGTTAGGTATTTCGGGAAGTGCCCAAGATTATTAAACCGCACGTCACTAGGCGGCATTACTACCCGAACTCGTTTTGGCACATTTTCAGGGGTCTCACATCCTCCAGTGCTTCTTGGACGTCCTTTCCTTATGGATTGTGTGCCAGATTTTACTAAAACTTTGCTGACGTCTACGATAAATTCATGGAAAGTCAGCATTTTATCTGTACGAGGAGATGAAGAGAATTGGCGTTTATATAAAATCCACGCATTTATCATGTACATAAGACGATTTTATTCTTATGCGGCTTCTACCAAAGCACGAATCCTTAAGATCAACACCTCCCATGTACTTGTTGTACTCGTGGATTATCGCAGGGTAATTATCGATTGGGTAATTTTTCTGGCAATTTGCAGCCAGGAATTCGGTTACGTTGAACTGTTCCAAGCCCATAGATTCCCTGGGTGCGTAAATAAGCCAATAAAGGAATAGTTCGAAGAAAATTCTGTAGTTCTTGAAAAGCGGAACTTTACGAGCAAGCCGCACCACAATATTTGCTGCTGCTCCCAAGTCTGGTTCATTGTCCAAAACATGGTATTCGCATCATCATTTGTCACTATATGGAAATCGGGATCGTCTAGACTTTCGTCGTCAAATCTGATATATCGCCAATTTCACTTATTGACCATTCAAAATTATTGACGAATGCTTCAAACTCTTCAGCCGCGGTAAAATCTTTGTATTTACGTGGCATTTTTCTATGAAAAGGCGCTAAAGCACTAACGAATTTCACTTCTCTAATGAGTGCCTACTGGTTCTTTGAAGGACCGAAGGACTTTTACACGAAAAACACCAACAAAAAAAATGATATTGCTAAAAAGATAATTACATGGTTTTAATATAGTGCACAAATAATAAAAATTAATTTTATTTGGTTCTTTTGGAGCAAAAGTTTTGATTTCAATCAATTTGAAAAAGCACGACTTGTTCACTTTGAAGCTTTTGTGTGTTTTTCTGATAAACGTCAAAAATCAGGTGTTCAGCACCGAAAAGCATATGATTTTCTTTTTCGCTATATGGCATACATTATAAAGAGAATATTTGCTGAATAAACATTGCGCAAAAAATGTAACAGTTTTGAAAAACAAGTCTCTAAAGTTGAGGTTCCTGAAGGGACCACCAGGCTATTAAGGGTTAGTTATGATAGGGGAGGAAATTCAAATTTATATGCGTGATATTGTTATAGAATATTTTAAAAAAAATAAAAACATATTTTAATACGAACGACACATACCTTATCATTTTGTGTTGTAATGCCAAATGAAAACAATTCTGCAAATAGAAACGCGATTGTGTGGATAGTAGAGTTCGTATAATGACCCAAGGCATAAAGTGTTCGGCTTTATTTGTTTGTTCTATACTCTTCAAGTTTGACAAGACTCTGGATCGAAAACACTGCAATGAAAATGATTCCAAATATTAATCTACAATACTTTTTGGTATATACTACACTCTTACCTCCATTGCCACTTCAATGTTTTTCGTATCGCCATCTTGCAACATGGGTGTTATGACCTTACACCATACCCACACCACAGGGTAACAATTGGGATAACATTCCAGAATAGAGTCAATCGAAAGTAAGGTTTGTTTACGCACCAATGCTGTGGGCTCACAAACCAGGCGTGAAGTTTCCTGGAAAGTAATGATCATTTTAGTATTCGATAGCATTGTCATCATTAAGTATTGCTTACCATTACGAAATTTGTATTGAAAATAATCAATGGATTTAACTTTACCAATTGTTCCATTAGCATTATTCCAGCTCTCCGTATATACGACAGAGGGCTTTGATAGAGATGTGTGTAGACATATGATGGCAAATTAAGTATGGATAATTGAATAATTGCATGTCCCTGAAAGGAATACTTTGCCTCCTGGGCATTGGGTTTTTCATAACGTATTTCATTCTTTCCCACTCTTGGTTCATCGGGCAACACAACACTCATATCACAAAACTCCGTGTATTTCAGACACTCTGTGAGAATTTTCCTGGCATTCGGAGAACCTTTGGTCAGAGCTGTGTGTAGGGCCTGTACCGATTTTAATTTAATATTATTATTTTGATCTTGTATACTATCAATTAATTCCTTGATGAGATAAATTTCTCGCGGTATATCTGAAACTTCATGGCGAAACATTTGCCAATCTACATGTGATTCCATTTGAAGTATCTTCGACATTAGGTCAATAGTTCGAGATCTAATCATCACTTCATCAGCATATACGGCATCACAAAGAAATTCCACACACGATTCATTGCACTTTGTGAATAGAGCAGCATCATATTTGGCAGCATATTCCAGGGCTTTTTGTATATGTTCACTTTTCCATGTTCGAACGGGATTCGTGATAATACATTCAATGTAGAATTTTAATACTTTCACCAATAGTCGAGAATATTTTGATATGCATTTTATAAACCAATCCGAGATGTGTTCACAATCGCTATTTATGTTACTGGACGTAGTTTGATTGGATTTGGGTTTAGATGAATATGTATGAAGAAATACGGTCAGATTCATGAGCTTTAACAGTGTCTGTTCGGGATCTCCATTGTGAGCATTAATCATCTCTTCGTAGATCTCAAAACATTTCGCATGCAAATTTGCTGCATCTAAAAATATATAATTTAAACATGACAATCGTAGTTGTTTTAAAAATGGACCTTTTTGAGGTTATACAGGGTGAGATAAAAAATAATTTTTACATTTTTTTAATTTTATTGAATGAAAGCAAAACATGTCGGAAATTGCATCAAATTTTAGAATAAGTTTAGATTTTTTCGAATTGGTCACTTTTGGCACAAATTATGGCCTTCAAACGGCCAATGAAACCGTCACACGCTGCCCGAATGGGCGCTTGCTTGATGTGATCGACACTTTGGTATTTTCTAGTACCCACCTAGGTCTGTTTGGACCAAATCCGTTTCAGAACATTTGGAGCCGATCTAGCGATGTCCGTCTGTCTGGTTGGTGCCCACTATAACTCTCGAAGGGAGTATCCGATTTAGTCCCAACTTTGTACGTCGTAATATTATTGTCAAACTTAGATCGACTTCGGAGTTGCGCAATATCAGTCCACTCTTTCTGGTACCTCCCACACAAAATGTCAACATTTTCAAAGAAAATAATTTACTGCACAGAAAGAGAAAGGCTAAACCTAATTTGCTCCAACTTTGCAAATCTTAATATTTGCATCAGTGCTAGGTCAGATGCGAGAATGGACAATATAGGTCCACTCCATCAAGTACCTCCCCCACAAAGGGTCAAAATTTGGAATAATTATAACTCTTATAAAATATGATGCAAGGGTCCGATTGTCTTCACATCACACACATCACAATATTTTTATTAACCTAAGGCCTGGTGTGAAGATGGAATATATCGGTCCACTCCGTCTAGTACCTCCCCCACAAAGGGTCAATATTTTGAATATCCATGAAGCCCATAAAACACGAATTTAACATCAGATTCCATTCAGACATGGCACATCTCAATATTTCCATTAACACAAAATTTGTTGTAAAGATGGTAGAGATCGGACCATTCCTTCTGGTACCTCCCACACAAAGGGTCAAAGTTTTGAATAACCAAAACTATCATAAAATCCGAAATAAGCATCAGGTTCTACTCTAATCACACACATCTCAATATTTTAATTAACACAAGGTCTGGTGTGAAGTTGGAATGTATCGATCCACTCCTTCTGGTACCTCTCCCACAACGGGTCAATATTTTTATTATTCATGAAGCCCATAAAACACGAAATTAACATCCGATTCCATTCAGACTTGACCAATCTCAATATTTCCAACAATACAAAATCTGTTATAAAGATGGTAGAGATCGGACCATTGCTTCTGGTACCCCCTGACAGAGGGTCAACGTTTCGAATAACAAAAACGATCATAAAATCCGGAATAAGATCAGGATTTCTTCAAATTACACACATCACAATATTTTTTTATTAACCCAAGGTCTGATGTGAAAATGGAATATATCGGTCCACTCTTTCTGGTTTTCTGGTACCTCCCCCACAAAGGGTCAAAATTTGTAGTATCCATAAAGCTTATAAAGCGTGATATTAACATCCGATTTCATTCAGATATGGCAAAACTCAATATTTAATTTAAATTACAAAAATATATACATTTGTTCATCCCTCCTTCTCTTAAATCCAGGTATGCATACAATAAATTGTATACAAGAAAACCTACATATCGGCTGTGTCTGATTTGAAATCCATCCTTGCCTAAATAACCCCAAAAAATAATACTAATTTTCGCATCATTTTTTATTCTTTCTCTTTATTTCAAAATAAAATTTAATTTCTAAAATAAGATAATTCATGACGATATAGTTTAGTTTCATTACATACTAAGAATTGGGTGTGTGTGTTAGTTAGCATATAATATAATTCGAAAAATTGATGGCAATTGATCAATTAAGATATAAAAACATATTTTCTCCTACTTCTTTTACATGACGAAAACCTTTTCAATTTTGGGATTAGTAAATTTCGTATTCGTTATGGGGCACAATACTGTTCCATTTTCTTTGGTAATTTCGGGTATTGCTAATTGTCCAAATATCTGTCCATTTGGCAGCATCATGGGCAAATTGTGTTCGTTCAATGGGAGGCCAGTGATGCGACAAATTAAACGACTCTGTACACAATGCGAATAGGGCAAGGTCTTGGCAATGCGATTAAAATCTTCTTGACAAACAGGGCAATTCAGATTTTTACAATTAAATGAATAACAGTGAGGAGTTTTCAGTGATGACAGGCCAGCCTGTACGGCAATACTGAGCAAGGATTGGGCTGAAAGTTGAAATAGTCGATAGTTCTCATTACGAAACTTGAGAACAAGATTGTTCCAGCGGTTAATGTCGAAGAGGCTGCGATAGGGTTCAATTGTGGTGTCTGGTTGGTAGGCCAACAAAGCCATGCATTCACAAATTTCCTTGATTTGTGTCTTCTCAAATGCTGGAAAGTATTTACGAGCATGTACGACAGCTTCTGTTCTCTGATTTTTACGTATTAGCTCAACAAATTCTTGTACACGCAAATCGAATTCAATATTAGAATTGATTTTTCTCAACTTTGACTTGTTATCCAAGCACCATAGAATGCATTTAGTGGTTTTATGAGCAGCCAAGTCCTCCTCCACCTCCCTTGAGGTATGGAAAATGTCTAGATTTGTGAGATGACGAATGTCCGAATAATTAGCCAGTCGCTCAGCAGTTTCATAATAACCCATACGCAATAAATGCTCTATAACCATACGATCCATACGTACGCGTTTCCATTGGTCAATTGATGCCTGCCACACCTCTTCACTGGTGTTGCTATCACGTTGAACTATTTCCTTTAAATGTTCCAATTTTCGTTTGCAAATAAAACTAGCATTCAATTCATCGCCAATGGCCTCGTCTGATTTCCTTTTAAGGACCTGTAAACGTTGTACGACATTGCCCACCAGCTTGCTGACGTCGGAAATTACGGGACGATGCATCAAAGCCTTTTCAACTTCCTTTGAATAATTTTGAATTTGATCCACTTCCCTGTCGACAGATTTCTGGGCGACTCGAAATTTTTTGTTGATAACCTCGTAGGGAACCTTCAAGGTGGCATGTTCCATGGACTTGATCTCCGACATTGTTGAAATTTAATTACCAAATGAACAAAATGGACTGTGTCGTCGTCTAATTACGTTCTTGGATATTTTTGTTTTCCTTTTGTTTCTTTGTTTGTGTTATTTTTTTCTTCTCATACAATTCGATAACAAGTGTTATCGTTTGATGTTAATGGAGATGAGTTGGGCTGGGTGAAATGGTACGAAAGTGAAAAAAGGACGGAATTATGAAAAGGAGTGAAATTTCCTCCTTCGTCACCCAGTTTACGCCTAAACTCAGTTTTTATTTTAATAATTCATCTGTCGCTGACCTCTAATTATTTCCTCAACATAAATTCCATTCTCACAGCATGGCATTGAAAGTCAATTAAATGTAAAGAGTGAACAATGAAGAGAAAGAGAGCAACATTTTTTTCTCATCACTGTGCATCATTTCTCGCCTTGGTGTAAAAGTGCGTATAGAAAACAAATTGTGAAATATGGGAAATGGGGAAACGTCAAACATTCATAACGAGCAACACGAACTCTGGACAGGATGACGATTTTATTAAAAAGTTTAAGAAATCTTAAAACAATTCAAACGCAATCAATAATAACACGAAATATATGTGTAAGCCTACGAGTAGACAACAACCAGACCACCTCAGCGGGTGCCACTGAACATTATGATATAATCATTGGTGGAGGCGGTTTGGTGGGCACTGCTTTGGCTGCAGCCCTATCAAAAAATAAAACTTTGGCCGACAAAAAAGTATTACTATTGGAAGGAGCTCCACCGTTCAAGGGATTTGATGTCAGCAAACCGTATGGTAATCGTGTATCAGCCATAAATAAGAAAACTATTGCCCTATTCGAATCAATTGGTATTTGGGAACGCATGACAAATGCCCGAGTTAAGCCAGTAAAACAAATGCAGGTTTGGGATGCAAATAGTGATGCTTTGATTAATTTTCAACATGACCACTTTGCCGATGATGTAGCCTGCATTGTGGAAAACGATTTAATGTTGGACTCCATTTATAATCAATTGAATGAAAATGCACCTAATGTTATCGTACGTAATCTATCGAGAATAGCTGATGTCAAGTTACCCTCAAAAACTGGAAAGTCATCCTCTGAAGTTACACTACAAAGTGGAGAAAAGTTCTCGTGTGAATTATTGGTTGGGGCCGATGGTGCCAACTCCTTGGTGCGCAAGGAAATGGCTGTGGATGTCTTTTCCATGGATTACAAGCGTATGGGACTTGTTGCTACTTTAGAGCTGTGTGAGGCTGGTGATAATTCAGTTGCTTGGCAACGTTTCATACCGACCGGACCAGTGGCGTTATTACCTCTGACGGATAAATTAAGTTCTCTTGTTTGGAGTACCACCGTTCCTCATGCCAAAGAGTTGTTAAACATGACACCCGAACAATTTGTGGATGCTTTAAATGAAGCCTTTTGCAAAGAATTCCCTAAAAGTGATGTGGCTGTCAAAGCCCTTGACGTTTTGAATTCAATGCTGGGCCAAAACACAAATACCCTGAGACAATATCCGCCACGAGTAGCTGGAGTGATGGAGAAATCCAGGGCCACATTTCCCTTGGGATTTTTACATGCTTCCTCATATGTAAGGCCTGGAGCAGCTTTGATTGGTGATGCCGCCCATCGTGTTCATCCATTGGCAGGACAGGGAGTAAATCTTGGCTTTAGCGATGTCTCTTTTCTGGTCGAAGCTTTGGCCGAGGGCACATATGCCGGTGCCAAATTGGGTGACATGCAATATCTAACAAAATACGAACAACGAGCTTTAACAAAAAATGTGCCCATAATTGTGGGTATTCATGGTCTACATACACTATATACGACCACATTCAGTCCGGTAGTATTGCTTAGAAGTCTGGGACTACAGCTGACTAACAATATACCACAAATTAAAGATATTTTCATGAAACGAGCTATGGGTTAGATGTTAGCGTTTAGAATTTATTCTTATGTTTGTACTATGGCCTACGTGGGCATTAAAAAAAATACTTTATAAACATTTAAAATGTCTTTAAGAAATAAATGATGAAAATCGATGGTAAAAATAACTCTTTACTTTCAAATTAATTGATTTTCTTTGTTGACTTTAGTCCCAAGACTTAATTCAGGATGGTCAAAAAATATTGTTACGGGGATGGGCAATACCATTCCTAATTTATTATTAATAAAAGGGTCAAAATATTAGCTTCTCCATGTTGATAGTACCACAATTGACATGTATATTTCATAGAAGAATATCATACACTCAATACTTACACATATTTGCATATCCACGTTCATGATTCACATATTGAATGTCTATTAACTTCTTTAGAATTCCATTTCGCGCCGTTTGATAATCCTTAAAATGGACATAACGCAGCACCAACTTCAAATCGTCACAAAATGTTGAGAATTGCACCCAGATCTGTATAGGCTCATGGCGTGGCATACGATTTATAACGTCCGGATTTTGTAGACGTTCTATTAAACCGAACACTTGTAAGCAATGGTTGATCAATTCCTCTTCAAAAATATGGAAACCCTTAGCTCCGGGTATGGTAAGTGTTAAAAAGTAGGCATTTACAGCAAGCAAAGACAATTTTATGTACTGAGAGGAATTGGGATCGATTTGTATAAGTCCCGCCAATGTGTATATAAATGCTAAGTAACCATCCCGTGGCGCCACCTTGACCACCTGATCCCAACAATCAAATGTGTTATCATAACTACCCACAGAATCACCGCGTAAAGTACGAATGGCCACACATAGCTCCAGCAAATTGGAAATAATTTCTTCATCCACCACACATCGCTGCACAAGAGGAATATTCAATAACTTCTGCAGATGTTCATTTGATTCTGTTGAGTTTTTATTTCGTTGAAATTGTTCGAAAATATCTTCTATTTCTTCCCACACCAAACCACGCACGAAATATTCACTTAATTTTTGAAAAATTTTAATTAATTCACTCATTTTACAACACAGCTACAACAAGAACAACAAGAAATCAACAAATGAATGAATGTGTGCGTCTGTTTGTTTACAAAACAAGACTTCTTCTTCTTCTTCTTTCTGAGCGTAGTTACATTCTAAGTGAAATGATAGTAAGTAAGGGTAATAGAAATGATATTTCAATATTTTAAATAAGTTTAATTGGGCACATTCTGTCTTTTTACGTCTGTGCCGTCCTGCATCTGTCACGCAAGTAAAACTACCTCTCAACCAGGTGTCGTGAGTTAAAAACCTTTTAATTTAAATATTACAATATCAAATAAGCAAACATAAATTGAACTACAATTCGACATTTGTACTTATGTACTATCGTTTTCTTTTTACACCATTTTTATACTGTATTTGCAGTAATCGGAAAATTTATATTGGCAATCCATTTTGTAACAAACGCTCATTGGTTTGTAATCGTTTTCAAGAGTGGCCAACCATTTTGGAAAATAAAAGCATTGGACTGGACTTTGCAATCCATTTTGGGATAAACGCTGATTGGATTGTAATCGATTTCACTAGTGACCAACCAGTTTGGAAAATAAATTCTTTGGAGTGGAGTAATCTGGCAAATCATTTTGAAAAATAAACTTATTGGACTTGAGGTGATTTTCTACAAATTTACCTTAATTTGGAGTACAACCTGGCTTTTTGTATCCTGAGGATCGCCAATGCTCTCTACAACATAGGAGAGCTCGCTTGACAGTCCAAAAAAAAAAAAAAAAAAAAAAAAAAAAATAAGTTTAATTAAATAAAACAATTTGGAAGATTAGGCAATAACTTTTCTGCATTTATATATAATACTGGATTATATTTTATTTTTATTTCATTGGATCAGCAGGCAAAGAATATATTTCGTCCTTATTGAAAAATAGAATTGCTATGCGACATGGCGACATTTCAATTTAATGTTATATGCGCGTTAAATGAAACACGTAACATCGTAAAATGTGTAATACTTTGGGAGTATCCTATTGTTTACAAACATGGTCATGGAAAAAAGTTTATTTAAGATCTGTGCGAACTACGTTTAAAATTAATTGAAAATAGCCACCATTCAGGATCAAGAGTGGTGCTTTAATGATAGTTGCCTTAAATATAAGAGTTTATTCAATGCAAAACAAAACAAAAGAAAACGTTTTAGGTGATGTTAAGGTGAGAATACATAAAACGCATTTCTGACTGTCTTATGTCATCGGCTGGCTTCATCGGAAAAGAACCAAGGAACGTAGGGCAAAATTCGAACTAAATCTACCTAGAACTCATTTGTTCCTCTACGAAGAAGTCAGCCGATGACTTAAGCCAATCAAAGAAGCGTTTTATGTATTCTTATCTTTAACACAAAACGTTATATTCTCTTCATACTTGTCCTAAGCGAAACCTAATTTAATTATTCCATAATTAATTTTAAACAATTTTAAAAAGAATCATTCTACGCCACTTAAATACAACACTGTGCTAGCGATTTCTCATTGTGCACCGCCGTTTGCAATGTTAGTATCGGTGATCTTAGTTCGTTAAGTCGTGGTCGCGTTCGTTGTGAATGTTTTTAACAAATCATATAAAAGATACTGTGTTTTAAGTTATAAAATCTTTTGCAAAGTATAAATAAACATTGTCGGTTCGGTAGGAAAATGAAATTATTTACGAAGAACTATTGCAAACCTTAAAAAACTGGTGTGAAAAATTGTTTCTTTTCGGCTAACGGTTTCGTTGGATTTCATAGTTGGTGTTGTTTTTTTATTGCCGCCGTTAAGTGATATTTTCAAACCGTTGATGTTGGTCAGTTCGACTTTGTTACATGAAAAAAGTGCGCCAACGGAAATATCAATTCCATTGTTCAAATCTGTGCAACATTAGTGATGTGTTTAAAAAGACACGAAAAAATATAACGAAGCTAAATAACAGTAGACTTAAAAGTTTTTCCAAAATTATTAATTCCATTGGAATATTATTTTAAATAAATACCTAATTGCAAAGCATTGCATTAAAAGAAATAAAAAATATAAAAAAGTGAATAATAAAAAACTACTTAAAGCAACGAATTATGCCTTCTCCAACACCATTGTCATACATCTCGCCGTCATCGTTCTCGATCTCTCAGTTCCGGCCGCGTTATATTGTTTTCCCGTGTATTAACAACTTTTTGTAAAAAAATGTCCCTTAGAAGTTATAAAAATGGTTGAGAAGTGTTAATTAACGTTTATTGAATTGAGGAGAAATGAATTCCAATCCTCTCGTCGAAGACAGAGTCAATAAAAAGCGCGCGCAATATCGCTTTTCAGGAATTTATAATTAAAATAGTGCAAAACGTTAATTGTGTGGCTAATAAATACAATTATTCATAAATATTTACGCCACTTAAATACAACACTGTGCTAGCGGTTTCTTATTGTGCACCGCAGTTTGCAATGTCAGTATCGGTGATCTTAGTTTGTTAAGTTGTGGTCGCGTTCGTTGTGAATGTTTTTAACAAATCATATAAAATATACTGTGTTTTAAGTTATAAATTCTTTTGCAAAGTATAAATAAACATTATCGGTTTGGTGGGAAAATGAAATTATTTACGAAAAACCATTGCAAACCTTTAAAAAACGAATGTGAAAAATTATTCCTTTTTCGGCTAACGGTTTCGTTGGATTTCATAGTTGGTGATGTTTTTTTATTGCCGCCGTTAAGTGATATTCTCATGCCGTTGATGTTCGTTTGTTCGACTTTGTTACATGAAAAGAAAAAAGTGCGCCAACGAAAATATCAATTCCACTGTTTCTCTTGCAAAGCAAATCTGTGCAATATAAGTGATGTGTTTAAAAACAAATATAAAAAAGCATAACATAACTAAATAACCGTAGAATTCAAAGTTTTTCCAAAATTATTAATTCTAATGAAATAATACTGACAAAAAATACATAATTGCAATGCATTCCATTAAAAGAAATAGAAAATATCAAAAAGTGAATAGTAAAAATCTACTTAAAGCAACGAATTATGCTTCTCCAAACACCATTGCCCTACATCTCAGTTATCGATAAATATGTGAACGATATTATTAATACGCTGTTACGTGCAATATCACTTTTTCAGGAATTTATAATTAAAATTATGCAAAACGTTAATTTTGTGGCTAATAAATAAAATTATTCGAAATATTTTGTTAATCTTAAATATTTACGCCACTTTAATACAACACTGTACTAGCGATTTCTCATTGTGCACCGCCGTTTGCAATGTTAGTATCGGTGATCTTAGTTCGTTAAGTCGTGGTCGCGTTCGTTGTGAATGTTTTTAACAAATAATATAAAATATACTGTGTTTTAAGTTATAAATTATTTTGCAAAGTATACATAAACACTATCGGTTCGGAGGGAAAATGAAATTATTTACGAAGAACGATTACAAACCTTAAAAAATCTAGTGTGTATAATTGTTTCTTTTCGGATAACGGTTTCGTTGGATTTCATAGTTGGTGTTGTTTTTTTATTGCCGCCGTTAAGTGATATTCTCATACCATTGATGTTCGTCATTTTGACTTTGTTACATGAGAAAAAAATGCGCCAACGGAAATATCAATCCCATTGTTCCTCTTGCAAAGTAAATCTGTGCAACATAAGTGATGTGTTTAAAAAGACACGAAAAATAGCCGTAGACTTTAAAGTTTTTCCAAAATTATTAATTCCAATGAAATATTATTTTAAATAATTAGCTAATTGCAATACATTGCATTAAAAGAAAAAGAAAATATAAAAAAGTGAATAGTAAAAAACTACTTAAAGCAACGAATTATTCCTCTCCCAACACCATTGCCATACATTTCAGTTATCGATAAATATGTGAAAGCCATTATTAATACTCCGTTATCGTTCTCGTTCTTCCAGTTCCGGCCGCGTTATATTGTTTTCCCGTGTATTAACAACTTTTTGTAAAAAAATGTCCCCTTTAAGTTTTACAAATATTTGATAAGTGTTAATTAACGTTTATTGAATTGTGGAGAAATGAATTTCAATAAAATACTAATGGAAACCAAAGCAAAATGCACATTTAAGATTTGTTCGAATAAATGTTCTGTAACTTCGCTGCCGGTTGTTATTAAATCATTATTAAATTATAAATTTAATCAATTTCCATTTATAACCAAATAATCGAATTTATCGCTTTATGTTGATTGCGGATCGTCGGGTGTTATTGGAGTTTCGTAATTTACTGGAATGATTATGTTTGCTAAGAATAGGTAATATTGTCTGCAGAACGTATCTTTACGTTTGAACACAAAACTTAATGTAAAAAAAAAACTAAGGAAAATGTGAAAAATATACTTGTTGAAACCAGAGGGTGAGGCTTGATTCAAAATTGTATTAAATTTTAAAAATAGTTTAATAATTTAAAAGCGTTTAAGTAATTTTTAAAGATCGGGTGTAAAAATGTCTTTAGAAGTGAATATCGGCTCAAACAACATCATGTCAGTGCAAATTACAAATTGGTGAGAATAAATTTGGCAGTATTTGGTACGGCCTATTTTGTAAAAAAAATGAAGGTGCTTCTAGGTAAGTTGTCTTTTCAATTATATAAATTGTTTTCAAAATATTCAAATTCAATTACAATAAAAATACTATTTTATTATTTAGGTATATAAATGATTTACTCTTTGTATGACAAAAAAAAAGTCAGCAGTATTTTCCCTAAAGTTAAGCAATAAATTTTCAAAAACGTCGAATAATGGCTTAACTCTAGTTTAGTACAAACTCTTACATTGTTTAAACTATTTTTTTTCTTGGGGACGGACACGGAACCTCATATTTTTGATCCCAAAGTTCGGGTTCAAGACCCGGATTAGACCCAAGAATTGGTATCGTTGGAAAGCATATGAAAATCCAATCCAACAAGTGGTTACATGGCAATTTTTAAGCGGTTCGAAAGTTATAGTCAAATTATGATTTTTTTGGATCCGGATTTTTTATAAATCCCCCAAAAAGTCGAAAAAGAGCCCATTATGGTGGTCAACCAAATTGAAGTCAAATTATTGCTGAAACTCTTACCATTCCTAAATGCTTAAATTGCTCTAATGCCTTTTCTGGATCCAGAGATATTATCTTCTGGGTACGTTCAACCGGCTACGCAAACAAAAGTTTTTCCAGACATTATACCGATAGATTGTCAAAAAATCCAGAAATTCATATATCAGGAATTCTTTCAGCCTTTAAATTCGTATTATTCGAAAGGTACTTCCTGAAACCTTTTCTTTGAACCTGTCTCAATCCTGCTTGAGTTTTGGTTTCTGTACAGTGGAACCTTTTACTTGTTATTTCCCTAAGATTGAGCGATCAATTTTCAGGGAATTTGAAAAAGCCCTGTGTCCTAAATTTTTTTTCCCAAAGTTCAAATCATTTCTATTCAACCCCACCTATATTTTAGTTTCAGTGCAGCAGACCCTTTTATCTGTAATTTCTTTAAAGTTGAGCGATAAATTCGAAACATTTCAATGACCGGAATTCATGCTGCCTTTAAGTTCGTCATCGCGTTTGAGCCATATGGCTAGGGAGGGTATATGTCATTTGATACGACCAAAACGTGCCTCATCGAAATAACGGGTTTATTCTTTATTCAATTTTTTTTATTCTATTCAAATCCTTTTCAGAACATTTGGAGTCAATCTAGCGATGTCCGTCTGGCTGGCACGATAACTCTCGAAGGGAGTATCCGATTTTATCCAAACTTGGTACATCGTAATATTATTGTCCAACATAGATCGAGTTCAGATATAGGCAATATCGGCCCCGGTTAGGTCAGGCCAAAATTGGACAATATCGGTCCACTCTATCAAGTTCCTCCCTCAACAACATAATTATAACTCTTATAAAATGTGATGTAAGTGTCCGATTGTCCATGGTCTGGTATGAAGATGGGATATATCATTTCAGTCTTGGTACCTCGCTCAATAAAGATCAAAATTTTGAATATTCATGAAGCTCATAAAACACGAAATAAAAACCGATGCCATTCAGACTTGGCACATATCAATATTTCCATAAACACAAGATCTGGTGTGAAGATAAAATATATCGGACCATTCCTTCTGGTATCTGTCCCACAAAGGGTCAAAGTTTTAATTACCATAACGATCATAAGATCCGAAATAAGCATTCGGTTCTCTTTAAATTACACACTTCACAATATTTTTATTAACCCAAGGTCTGGTGTGAAGATGGGATATATCGGTCCACTCCACAAAGGGTCAAAGTTGTGAATATGCATGAAGCTCATAAAATGCGAAAATAACGTCCGATTCCATTCAGACTTGGTCATCTCAATATTTCGATTAACACAAGGTCTGGAATAAAGATGGTGGAGATGGCACCATTTCTTCTGGTACCTTCCCATATAGGGTTCAAGGTTTTGAAAAAAAAAACAAAACGTTCAAAGAAAGCGAAATAAACATCCAATTCTCTTCAAATTTTTTACAAACAAACATTTTTGCTAACACAAGATCTGCTGTGAAGATGATATACATCTGCCAACGCCTTTTGATATATCACCCACAAAGGGTCACAATTTCCAATACTTATATCTGTCATAACTTGCGAAACAAGTTGGCGATTCTTTACAACTTGCTACATCTAAATATTTATCTTAAAAAGAAATCTGATATGAATATGCAATTTATTGGATTATATGATTTCGCATGAAATTGGATATAAAAGTTCGATTTCGTTCAAATTTTTGCTCATGCCAATATTTTTACCTGTATTAGATGAAGTATGAAAATGGAATACGCACGCATATTTCCACATTTTCCAAAAATTTGCAAATATCTCATATAAAGTATAGGAAGTAGTCGATATAGTCCAAATCTGGCACGTTGTAATATTTATATCAGTCTACGAATTGGTCAATATTGGCCAACTGCTTCGGAACCTCCCCCATAAAGTGTCAACAGCTTGAATAATCATTGGATCGGCAGGCAAACAATATATTTCATTCTTATTGAAAAATATAGCTGCTATGCGACATGCCGACATATCAATTTAATGTTACATGCGTCGAATGAAAAACGTATCATCGTAAAATGTGTAATGCTTTGGGTGTATCCATGGTAGAAAAATATAGGTAGATGCATCAACGCTTGGAAACATTGGTATGTCAAAATTTTTGAAATGTGTTTTCAAAAATAAGTTATTTTTGTTAGTTGTTATGATATGCATTTTTAAACAATTTTTACAATTTTGAATAAATTTTCATTTAAAAATTTCACTTTCAAAATTGGTTTGACAGTTCATTGTCCCAGCAGCTGTGTCGATGCGACTACATGTATTCATCTACCATGCGGTGTCCTAGTGTTTACCAAAATGGTAATTTTTCAAAAGGTTTTCTTAAGATTTTTTGAGTTGAAATTTAGCCACCTTAAATTTACGAGTTTAATCATAAACCTTAAATCGAACATATTTGTTTCCAAGAAAGAATTACTTAGTGATAAACTGTGATTTACTCCACTTTTGAATACGTCATATAAGTGGTATTGGAAAACCCTTTTGAATTTTGATGATTTTTAAACCAAATACTAAGAAAGTCTAATTAGCAGGTATAAATAATACACAAATTTTCCATAATTAAAAACTTAAGCACACTAGCAGATGTTAATATGGTTTGGTACTAGGTAAAGAAATGTTCTAAAACTACCTGTATAAGAACCTTTAGTATCACATAAATAAGGATGTGGTAAAGACAGACTTCATCACTTCCAGTAACCACTTCTTGCAGTCATCATCGTCAAAGATTCATCATCATGTCTTTCTTTATTGCAAAATTTCTACAATTAAAACAACTGACAAAAGATCAACAGGACCCAAAGCTTCATAGTAAACAAAACTATGTAAATTTTAAAGCAAATAATGTTGCGGTTAAATACAATAAAGAAAACACTTCACCACCCATCTCCTTTGGTACTTCGGGTCAAAAGTTTGACACATTAAAAACATATCCAACCATTCTAACACACATCGGTGGTGCTGGTAGAGAATAAAATTGTGATCTATTAACATGTAAGTTATTAACTATAGACAATATATGTTTGCTGTGTCCTTTTAATAATCGTTTTCCTTTTCAGATTTTTTAAAAAATATATTTTTTTAAATACATTTAAGTACAAATTGTGACGATATGAAAGCCTATAATGCCCTTCTTTAAACTATTTTCTTTTACTTTTAATTTTCATTAGTATTATGGATTTTTTAATAAATAAAAATATTTACTAATTTTTTAATATACAAATCTATATCTTTGATTTGAATATTTGATTATATTGAAATTTTCGATAGTAGTAACCATATACTTAATGCCATATTACAAAACTCCCAGTTGTTCCTATCAACATTTTGAATTTCGGAATCTGTTCGTAGAAAAACAGGCTATTATTAAGCACATGCCCAAGCATTATTGCCGAAGAATTTTTCACTCAAAAGCGATTATCTTCAGAATGAAAAGGGTCTACAGGGTGAGATACAAAACTGCAACGAAATCAAACACCATAATTTTTACCTTTTTTAATTTTATTGAAGGAAAGCAAAAACTGTCGAAAATAGCGCCAAATTTTAGAATAAGTTTAGATTTGTTCGAATTGGTCACCTTTGCCACGAATTATGGCCTTCAAACAGCCAATGAAATCGTCACACGCTGCCCGAATGTTGCTCTGCGGTATTTTGGCCCATTCCCGGCGAAGCGCTTGCGTGAGTGCCAACATTGCTTTCCAAAATACTCTAAACACAATAGTCCAACGGATTGGTATCCGGAGATTTTGGTGGCCATTGTGCACTGGAAATGAAGCGAGGAACCTCATTTTGTAAACAGTCTTGGGTGGTGCGTGCTGAGTGCGATGATGCTGAGTCCTGTTGGTTTGTCCAAGGTCTGTGGCCAAAATGTTTGCGTGCCCAAGGCTTTAATACACCCTCCAGAATATTTTCGCGATAATATTTGGCATTTATTCTAATGCCACGGTCAATTAATACGAGCGGAGAGCGACCATCGGCTGCCATAGCGGCCCACACCATCACCATGGCCGGCTTGAGTTCTGGTGGCCAACCGAAGGTGCACTTTTTCAGCTGACCTTTTTGGCAAGTAAACACGATCATTTTGTTTGTTTACAAACTCCTGGACAACGAATGTTTTCTCATCGGAGAAAACCAAATTCGGCAGTTCACCATATTCGGCCAAGCGAAGCAACTCTTTAGCTCTTTTGAGTCTGTTTTTTTATACCCTCCACCATACTATGGAGGGTATATTAATTTTGTCATTCCGTTTGTATATAGCCCCCATATAACTGTACCTCCCGATATTCAGTATTTTGATGATTTAAGCGACATTATTCGCCGGAATTGTTTAAAATTTGGCATTTGAAGTTTGTAATGAATACTACAGCCTAAGATAGAAAATTATCTGTGCAGGTCCACGTCTTCGTGTAGCCCCCATATAACGGTACCCCCCGATATTCTATATTTTGATGATTTTAGCGACATTGTTTACCGGAATCGTTTCAAATTTGGTTTTTGAAATTCGTAATGGGTACTACATCCTATGTCAAAAAATGAGCCATGTAGGTCCACGTGTTCATATAGCCCCAATATAACGGTATCCCTCGATATTCGGTATTTTGATGATTTTAGCGACATTATTTAGCGAAATCGTTCCAAATTTGGTATTTAAAGTTCGTAATAGATACTGCAGCATAAAACAGAAAATGGGCCATATAGGTCCACGTCTTCATATGGCCCCCATATACCGTACATCGCCAGAAAATTGTCTGTGCAGGTCCACGTCTTCGTATAGCCCCCATATAACAGTACCCTCCATATTCGGTATTTTAATGATTTTAGCTACATTATAAACAGATTTTTCTTCAAGTTTCGCATTTAAATATTGTAATAACTTATGACAAAAGTTGCTTACGCAGGCCCACGTCGTCGTATAAGCACTCGGTACTCTTAAGATTTTAACAGAATTTTTAACGGATTTTATTTTTTGGAAATTGCCAAATTTGTATCAAATGGTGGAGGGTATTAAAAGTTCGGCCCGGCCGAACTTACAGCTTTTTACTTGTTCTTTCTGTTGTTGCACTTTTTGGAATTAAAATGGCTTAACCCAGATCTCAATTTTCATTATTTGCCGAATGGAATATTGCGATATGTTAAGGTCACGAGCCATTTTTCGGCCATTGCGACGTGTCGCTTCTTTACTTTTCCAACTATTTCTGCTGGTCCACTTCCATTTTCTTCCGTCCACTTCCTTGACGTCGGGCTACGCTACCATGTATCCCGGTAACGAGCGATGGTACGAGACACAAGAGATTTATTCACATTTCACTGCTTGAGTGCTCTAACGATAACCACTTGTGGTTTTCCAGTCAAACTTAAAGAAATCTCACTATCGCGCTTGAATTCCATCAGGAATAACTTTTTTTGTGGAAAATTCTCACCAAAATGCTTTTGTAGGCTTGTAAACAATGTAATGAACTGTCACTGGAATAATTTTAATAGCTGTCGGACGAGTGGCTTAGAAATGACATCAGTCTGAAGTGGGTTTTGCAGTTTTTTTGCCTATTCCATAGAAAGTCAAACATTTTAATTATCATAACAGAAGTCAAAATATATTTAAATTGTGGAACATTGGCTAAGGGTATATATTTGTCGGCAAAACCGACTGATCCTTTTTATATTGTTTTTTTTTTAAGTATTAAATTTTTAAATTTTTAAGGAAGTTAAATTCATCTAAGTGCCTGCAACGCTTTGCTTGCTTTCTTTCTTTTATTGAGCTGTTTTCATGTTTGAAAATGGTGCTAATCTTTTTGATAGATTAGTTTGAATGAGAATATTGTTTTTAAATGACTTTAGGTATAATTTGTGCGGTTCAGTAGTCTCATATCGAACACACACACACACATTTGTTGTTAACACATTAAAAATATACTTGCATATTAATTAACGGCCATAACATGCAAATGGAATTTACGATAGTTATTGTTGTAAGTGAATGTTGACAATGACTGATAAGAAAACGTAAATACGTGTATATTAATGGGGAAGTAAAAAATTGTTTGATAATATAGCCAAAGAAATATAGTTCAGTCATATGAGATTTGGTTCGGGCCAATAAAGATAATTGCAAAGTTTGCTACAAAATGGAAGGCAAAATATCTCGTCTTTGATCAATATTCATTCTACTGCAAACAGTCTGGGAATTTTATTTTCATTTATTCATCGATTAAATAAAATAGATTTGAAAAATCAATATTCCACTAATATGAATATTAAGAATCTATGCAAATTAACACCAATCAATTTACATTCTATTTTAATAATTAAAACTAAAATCAGAACTAGTTTAACTTTAAGATCTATTTTACTCTGCGTGTGTGTTTAACAAAAACAAATTCTTTTCCTTGTTTAATTCGCAAATTCTTGCACATTAAAACAGAACAAGTTTGTTTTTTTTTACCTTGAAATAAGTAGCACAAATTTGTCATTGAATAGTTTATATTAATAGGTTAATAAACCAGGCGTATATACAGGGTGAGATGAAAAAACAGCTGCCATTTCTAAGCCACTTGTCCGACAGATGTTAAAATTTTTCCAATGACAGCTCATTATTTTCTTTACAAGCGTACAAAAGCATTTTGGTGAGAATTTGCCAGAAAAAAAGTTATTCGTGATGGAATTCAAGCGTGATAGTGTGATTTCTTTATATTTGGCTGCAAAACCACAAGTGGCTATCGTTAGAGCACTCCAGCATTTAAATGAAAATAAATCATTTGTATCTCGTATCATCGCTCGTTACCGTGATACTGGTAGCGTAGCTCGACGTCAAGGAAGTGGACGGAAGAAAACAGCAGTATCAGCAGAAATGGTTCGAAAAGTAAAGAAACGACTTGATCGAAACCCGCGTCGCAGTGGTTGAAAAATGGCTCGTGGGCTGAACATATCGCAATATTCCATTCGGGAAATATTGAAAAATGAGCTCGGGGTAAAACCATTGAAATTCCAAAAAGTGCAAGAACTTACACCGCAAAGAAAGAAGGAATCAAACAGAACGAAAGACTCAAAAAGTGGTGAAATGCCGAATTTGTTTTTTCCGATGAGAAAACATTCGTTGTCCAACAATTTGGCCGAAAAATGGCTCGTGAGCTGAAAATAACGCAATATTCCGATCGGCAAACATTGAAAAAATTAGCTCGGGGTAAAGCCATTGAAATTCCAAAAAGTGTAAGAACTAATACCGCAAAGGAAAGAAAGACTCAAAAGAGCCTAAGGGTTTCTTCGCTTGGCCGAAAGTAGTGAACTGCCGAACTGGTTTTCTCCGATGAGAAAACATTAATTGTCCAACAATTTGGCCGAAAAATGGCTCGTGAGCTGAAAATAACCCAATATTCCATTCGAAAATGTGCACCTTCGGTTGGCCACCAGAACTCAAGCAGCGTTAATGGTGATGGTGTGGGTCACCATAACAACCGATGGTCGCTCTCCGCTCGTATTAATCGACCGTGGCATTAGAATATATGCCGAATATTATTGCGATCATATACTGGAGGGTGTATTAAAGCCTTGGGCACGCTAACATTTTGGCCACAGACCTTGGACATTCCAACAGGACTCAGCACCATCGCACTCAGCCCGCGCCACCCAAAAGTGGTTACAAAATTAGGTTTCTCGCTTCTCCGGATATTAATCCGTTAGACGATTGTAATGCAAGCAATGTTGGCACTAAAAAATACCAAAGTGTCGATCACCTCAAGCAAGCTTTTCGTCGGGAATGGGCCAAAATATCGCAGAGCGACATTCGGGCAGCGTGTGACGGTTTCATTGGCCGTTTGAAGGCCATAATTCGTGGCAAAGGTGACTAATTCGAACAAATCTAAACTTATTCTAAAATTTGATGCTATTTCCGAAAATTTTTGCTTTTATTCAATACAATTTAAAAAAAAAATGTAAAAATTATGGCGTTTGACTTTGTTGCAGGTTTTTTTACCTCACCCTGTATGGGAGCATGAACGCCAAAATGAATATGCAAAAAGTATTAACTATTGGATATTTGCCTTTGCACCAAACAAAAATGAAAACAAATTTGATACAATTTTCTGCATTTAAATACTTGTTTTTATTTTTGTTGTTATTATATGATTTTCATAATGTTGTTGTGTGTGAGAGAGAAATTAAAGAAACAATTTCAAGCGAAAATACGAACAAAAAACACAATAATTTAATTTTTGTGAAAAAAGAATGGAGAATACTTAAGCTATATCTTTTTTTATATCATAAACTATGTTGTCCAGATAATAAAAAAAAAATCATTTTAGTCGAAGAATAAAAACACATAACAAAAAAAAAAAAAAAAAAAACGCCCTACATACTACAGAACAACACAGTTCAGGCCCAATATATATAAGACAACCGATAATTTCATGAGAATAATATTGTATGGATAACGCCAGCTAATCTCTCAGCTTAACAACGGCTCATAACGACATATGACAGAGAAGGTATCGCCACCCAAACGTTGGGCCAACCATTTGTTCTTAACAACAGCCAATTTAAGAGTTTCACAATTAAAACTAGCATAAAGATTAGTGTGAAGGGCCCGGCCCATGCCCTCAATGACAAGGAGATCAGTCTCATTTAAGGCATTACACAATTCCTGGGGCAATGTACGCATATCCAGACACGGTCCCTTTTGACCGTTTCCTTGTATGGTGAGACGTTTACTCGTTCGCGCTTCTTTGATAATGGCACAATGGCAACTGCAGGTGTCCAATATACTGGATAACTCCGAAATGGTAACATCATTGAGGGAGGGCTCATTATTGGCACACAGTATTACCCGTGTGCCTCTCCTCAAAAGTTCACGGGCAAAAGGTAAAATTCCCAGGACCACATCCACACCGCAATTGTCAACAAAAATGGCAGCACATTTATGCACTTCGCCACCATTGCTCAACCTATCCAGCCAATTATCCAAATCATCCATGAGCCAGGGCCTTTTTTGTATACGTTCCAAGGCCGCATGTAAACCAAATGTTTTGTCATTTAAAATAATATTGGTTACAGCCTGGGCACCCCAGTCGAACATATTGCCAGCCAGTACACCCTTTACCAATTCTGTCCAACGCTGGCGGTAATCGGAGATGTCATCGATTTCATGTATGCGTTTTGCAAACAATTCTAAGGCAGCCTCATTTTCCGACTTCTTTTGGTCCAACCAGGGATCCGGAAACCCATATAAACGCAAATGTTTGTCATTCAATTCCAAGAGTTCTCTAATACCCAGGGTTTTGTTATTTTCGGCATTTTCTTTGGTTTGGCAGCGATATTCCTCCAATTTTCTCAAAGAAGTTTCAAGGAATTGTTGAGCTCTCTGCCCAGCTGTGTCGTCGTCGGATTTTTGCGAGTTCTCAGCTTGACGGGAGAATTTTTTGATCATATCCTGGAAACAGGGAAACCAATAACGGGCCGCTTCCTCATCGGTGTTTAAATCCAATGTATCGGGATTATACTTAGAGTTGTCTTTGACCAAGGCATTGCAACGCCATTCACACATAGTGCCCTGAAAGATAATGCGAAAAAAACTAACATATGTTTTAAGGTGATCGGGCGGGCAGCTAGGTATGTCTGTGTGGGACAAACTTGGACTCTCGTTTTTTATTTATTTGTTGTTTTATTTGTGACGAAAGAATTTATCCACACACAGGTCAACTAATTTAATTAATAAAACAAATTCACACGTACTAACCCTTCTTGAGATTTTTTTGACAAACTTTCGACGATTTCCTTCGCAAATCTATAAATTGCGTTTATCGCTGCTTGTTTTCGGATATATTTGCACTTATTCCAAACCCAAAAAAGCTCTGTTGTTTCAGGAAGAGTTGACGCCTTTCTTCCACAACCTGAATTTTTATTTTGTTCGTAGAAATTTGTCTTCCAATTGTTTTTATTGTAGATTTTCAAACCGCCCTGACATTATGCCTGCTTGCAGCGCTTCAATGGACGAATGGACGACGTTGTTGTTGCTGGTTACCTTCACTTTTTTTTATCAGTTGCCAAAAATAATTATTTAAATAATAAACTCTATACGGCTATAACTGCTGCTTTTACTTCTTTGTTACTCTACTCTTTCCGCAACGACGGCAATGGTGGTGAACAATTCTTGTGGTCTGGTCTTCTGTTGTGGTTTGATGAAGACGTCGTTTACGCGATTTGTGCCTAGTTCTCAGATAAAACAAAACAAAAACATTAACAAAAAAAAACCTATTAAAAAGTCAATAACTTTATGCCAGCAAACAAATGATAAAAATTTCTTAGTATGTGTGTGTGCGTGTGTGGTAGATTATGACAACAGCTGTTTTATTCATATATAGGTCACACTAGATAATATGTGGTTCTTAAAGGGGGTTCACACCCTATGGCGACGACTGATAAGTGATTGGAGACGAAAAGTTTACGGAAAGATTATTAAGGGCTAAGTACATAAGAAGCTTGAAGTCATGGCACGGCCTATTTTGTGACATTTCACAAAGGAATTACAGAGCCGCACTAAAATCCTGCCGTCGTTTTTCATTATAATTTGGCATTAATATGCCTAGCCAGGACTTCAAGCTTTTTATGTATTTGCAGCCTTATGGTCGGTTATTATACCCTCCACCATTCTTGGGAGGGTATATTAACTTTGTCATTCTGTTTGTAACTCCTCGAAATATTCATAATAGACCCTATAAAGTATATATATTCTGGTTCAGCGAAAAATTCTAAGATGATCTAGCGATGTCCGTCTATCTGTTGTAATCATGCTATCTTCCGGACGAATTGAGATAGAAGGCTAAAATTTTGCATACATGCCTATTTTACCAGTAGGTAGGTTAAGTTCGTAAATGGGCCATCTCGGTCCACGTTTTCGTATAGCCCCCATATAACGGTTCCTACCAACATTCGGTTTTTTCATGATTTTGGCGACATTATTTACCGGAATTATTTAAATTTTCGTATTTGAAGTTCGTAACGGGTACTACAGCCTTTGAGATAATTTTTTGTATGTAGTTTCAAGACTTCGCATAGCCCCCATATAACGGTACCTCCCGATATTCGGTATTTTGATGATTTCAGCAACATTATTCAACGGCATCGTTTCAAATTTCGTACTTGAAGATACCAATGGGTACTACATCCTATGACAAAAAAATTTGTATGCAGGTCCACGTCTTCCCATATAATGGTTTTCATCTAAGTGGTAGTTTTCGGATTTTTTTTTTTAATTTTTCAATTTTCTTCGAAATGGTGGAGGGTATTGGGTGCTTTTTTACTTGTTACATCAGTTCGATAGATGAAAAAATGATGTTATGGGACACATAAATCGTCATATGACTACAGAGAGTATATATCATTTCATACCGTCAAATCTCTATGGAACAAATCCGTTTCAGGACATTTGGAGTCGATCTAGCGATGTTTGTACGTCTGTCTGTCTGACTGGCTGGTGCGCACAATAACTCTTGAAGGGAGTATTCGATTTGATTCAAACTTCGTACATCCTAATATTATTGTCAAACTTATATTGAGATCGAAAATAGGCAATATCGGTCCACTCCTTCTGGTACCTCCCCCACAAAATGTCAACATTTTCAAGAAAATAATTTACTGCACAAAAAAAGAAAGGAATTAGCGATTTTGCTCCAACGTTGTTCCAGAACCTGCAAGAATCTCCTAGTTTTGCAATTTTTTTCGATATCATAAAGGGAAAATCGGTTATCATAGTAAAAACTTGTACATTCTTGCAGTTCTAGAACAGACCAAATATTTGTATCAGTGCTAGGTCAGGTGCGAAAATGCACAATATCGGTTCACTTCTTGTGGTACCTACCCCACAAATGGTCAACATTTTGAATAATTATATCTCTTATAAAATGTGATGTAAGTGTTCGATTATCTTCAAATAACACCCATCACAATCTTTTTTATTAACCCAAGTTCTGATGTGAAGATGAAATATATGGGTGCACTCCTTCTGGTACCTCCCCTACAAAGGGTAAAAATTTTGAATATTCATCAAGCTCATAAAACGCGAAATTAATCTCCGATTTCATTCCATCAACGCAAGATCTGTATTAAAAAAGGTAGAGATCGGATAATTTCTTCTGGTACCTCCCCCACAAAAGGTCGAAGTTTTGAATAAACAAAACGATCATAAAATTCCAAATAAGCATCCGATTCTATCCATATTATACGCGTTCCATTATTTCTACTAACACAAGATCTGCTATTAAGATGGGATATATCCGTCCACTCCTTCTAGTACCTCTACCACAAAGCGTCAAAATTTTGAATAACCAAAACGATCAAAAATCCGAAATAAGCATCAGGTTCTCTTCAAATTACACACATCACGATATTTTTATTATCCCAAGGTCTGGTGTGAAAATGGGATATATCGGTCCACTGCTTCTAGTACCTTCCCACAAAGGATCACGAAAACACGAAATTAATCTGCGATTTCATTATGACTTGGTGTATCTTAATATTTCCATCAACACCATATCTGTTATAAAGACGGATACTACTTTACTTGTTTTGCATGGATTTGAACGCGTCTTATTAGATGCAGGACTTAAATTATCAAAACGTCATGGCTTCTTAAGGTGCAAGTACATAACAAGCTTGAAGTCATTCAAGGCTAGGCATACTTATGTCAAATTATAATGGAAAAAGACGGCAGGATTTTAGTGTGGCTTTGTAATTCCTTTATGAAATGTCACAAAATATGCCTAGCCATGACTTCAAGCTTCTTATGTACTTACACCTTTATAATTCCTCACCTTAAAACACTTAAATGTTTCTTTTGTACCGATGTAGTCGGTGGAAGAATTAATACCAGAGTTGTATTTCATCGGCTAAATAACTGTCATTACGTGTAGTTTATAAACATAATTTTGTTTAATATTAAATATATTTAACAACTCTTTTCATAGCTATATAATGTTGAGAACGTTCTCAGGGCAAGTGGTTACTTGTTAACCATGTGGTGCGCCATCTGTCGACCAATAGTGTGCATCATAAATGACAATAACAATGCAATGCAACCAACTTCATACGAACAGCCTTTTCTTTCCGGTTGAATTTTTGACAGATCAACAACTAAAAAATGGTACGAAATAAAAAATCTTTAAAAATTATGAAAATCTCGGAATTAAATAAAATAAAAATGTGAGAAAGTGCAAAAGAATGTCTACTATAAACAGCATGCCAAATAATTTTCTTAAAATAACAAACTTTTGAATCAACAAATTGTGAAGAAATAGAACAACAGTGCAAAGACAAATTGTGAAATGATACTGTGTTGTTGAAGATATTAACTTCTCTTATCCTCTGTTGTAGGCCAAACGCACCAAGAAGGTTGGAATCGTAGGTAAATATGGTACCCGTTATGGTGCTTCCCTACGTAAGATGGTCAAGAAAATGGAAATCACCCAGCACAGCAAATATACCTGCTCGTTCTGCGGCAAGGTAAGTACATAGTTGGAAAATGTCATTCTTTGAATGTTGTATGGCTAATGGGATTTATCTTTTTTTCCAGGATTCCATGAAGCGTGCTTGCGTTGGCATCTGGTCCTGCAAGCGCTGCAAGCGTGTTGTTGCCGGTGGTGCCTGGGTTTACTCTACCACAGCCGCTGCTTCCGTACGCTCTGCTGTCCGTCGTCTCCGTGAAACCAAGGAACAATAAGCTGTTGATCTCGGTTTGGTGTTTCTTAGTTTTGTAGGCGTTAAATTTACACTAAATAACAAAATAACAACAAAATTAGTTTTTGTCTAATTTTCTGTGTGCGGTTTTTGCCACGATCTGTGCAGTTTTGGATTTTTTTGTTGTTGTTTACGAATGTTTTCGTAAATGCAACGGGGAAGCCAAAATAAAATGTGTGAATAAAACAAAAATAAGTTTTGTATAAAACAACAATTGAACATATAAATAAATAAATGAAATGAAATGAAATTATTATTGTGGAATGAATGAAATGTGTGCTCCAAATTTCAATGGAAATATTGAATTTCAAACAAGAATACATGAAAGAAATTGTCCAAATGAAATGTTCGAAATAATAGTACCTTTCATGATCGGAGCCATAAGTTTACACTCTTCATGCTAAGACGGGAAGCGCAATGGAACCTATCTGCTGGTATACAGTTTGACATAAAAACCCCAAAAATAAAAATTTGGAAAGAATAGCATTTCATCGCGAAGTTTAAAGCACATTTTCCTCACATAGTAGATACAATTTTTTACCAAGTGTTGAACTTGTTGGTTCCGAAATTTCCTTTAATGGATATTAACATATATGCCGATAATTATTATATGTCGTTATGAATCCATAATACTTTTGTTTAATTGTTGCAAATTGTTACTGGAAGTCATCTGCTAATGCAAAAGTTCTGCAAAAAGAGCGATTCGAGAGAGACAGTTTTAACAGTTCTTTTACTAAGAGTTTGCAAATTCTTGCTGGACAAAATTCGTGCAATCACTTGTAACGCTTCTACTTCTTTATGCTGTGATTTTTAATTTTTGTGTGCTTCAATGCATTTTATTGCGAACAAGTTGTTTTGTTTTGACAAAACAGCTGATTGCTTTGCAATTTTTTGCAGGAATTCTGTCTGCTTTTCAAAAGCTTTCTTGCAAAAAGAGAATAAGCGTTTGAGGATAATTACTGCAGTAAACCAGACACTTCTAATATTTAAAATATTTAAGATATGGAACAAATTGAGTTTAGCTTCAGCTGGCGGAATAGTCCGAGATTTTAAGGAAGGTAGGTCTTGTTATCCTAATCACAGTGACATAATTTTTTTGGGGGGAAATCAATACTTCCCGAGTTCCAAAAATATCCCTTTTTTAATTGGCTATTTCTGAAATAATCGAAATAAAATCTTCAAAATGTCACTACAGGTAGATTTTTACACCCTGAAAACATAACATTTTCAGGAGGTGGATCCGTACTTCCCGAAATATAGGGTTCCAAAGTTTTAAAACAAAGGGCTTGAGATGTTCTTATCTGTTGTATGTCCAACTCCGGCTTCGTGAATCCGGTCTTCTGTCGGGGCCTGAGATTTTCTTTTCCGAGGTATGCCCAACACCGGCTTGGCAATCCAAAGTTTACTTAAATTTAATATTTTTTAAATAAACGACAACATATAAGGAAGCTACTTTTTACAATATGGAACCTATATTTTGGGAATGCTGTAACAATATCTGAAAATCATTTCGAAGAACCGGCTGGACTTCAACCACCTGACTTCGTCGATACAGGTAGCCAACAAAACTTTATAACCCTACTATCATCCAAGGCTTATCTAAGCTTATGTTAAATCTTCTATTTGATTATCTACATCAGGATGACTATTCACATCAGGATGACATTTAGCACAACAATGTGTAATGTGTTCTGCTTAAAGTGTATGTCCGGGTCTGTTGGAAATTGAGGACAAATCGGCAGCAAGTGTCTCCATAAGGCACGCTTCTCCATAGATTAAATTTAACAAGCCTCAAAATGCTTCTGAACCCCCAAAATTGTACTTAAATATCCATGTTTATTTTAAAGTGTTGGGGATATTGGACATCGGAAATGACCGTCCCTTTTTATACCCTACACCACATAGTGTTAAGGATATTATGTCTTTGTGCATTTGTTCGCAACATGGAGAAGGAAGCGAGATAGAACCGTCCTCTGTCCATGTATTTTTGTGAACAAAATACAGGTCGCATTTATTATTCGATTGAGATAAAATTTTCCAGACAATATTTGTTTGGCTCAAAGTCAAACCCTATTGAAATTGGTGAGAATCGGTTCAAATTTAAATATAGCTTCCATATATAACTTCAACCGATTTCTCGTTAATTGTGCCCCCAATGGCCAATATCATATAAAAATGGAATAAATTTTGGCAATTCCAGTGAATTCATCCTGAAAACAAGTACTTCAAATTTGATGAAAATCGGTTCAGATATGGCTATAGCTCCCATATATATGTTTCATCCGATTTGGGGTTTAAAACCCTCACATGCGTAGTATGCACTCCATATTTGGTACCAGATATCAGATACAGCTCATAAATAAGTGCCTAACATTTTGTCAAGATCGGTTCAGATTTGGATATAGCTCCCATATATAATTTTATATGATTTCAGGTTTTTTGTACTGAATTTTTGGCAATTCCAACTGAATCCATCCTAGAAACAAGTATTTCAAATATTTGATGAAAATCGGTTGGGATATACCTTTAGCTCCCATATATATGTTTCATCCGATTTGGTGTTAAAATCCCTCACATTCGAAAAATACGCACCACATCAGATATAACTCAAAAATACATCTGCCAAATTTTATCGAGATCGGTTCAGATTTTTATATACCTTCGATATACATCTTCATCCGATTTTAGTGTTATTGTCCACCATATATCAGTGCAATTTGAATAGATTTTTATACCCTCCACCATAGTATGGAGGGTATATTAAGTTTGTCATGCAGTTACATTTTACATTACGTTTTTTATGTCTGCATGACTGTTAGTATTGAAAATGGGTCATATAGATCCATGTTTTGGTATAGCCACCATATTTTCGGTATTACTGTGATTTAGGCGACATTATTCACCGGAAATGTTTCAAGTTTGGTATTTGAAGTTCGTAATGTATACTACAGCCTATGATAGAAAATTGTCCGTGTATGTCCACACCTTCGTATAGCCCCCATATAACGGCATCTGCCGATATTCGGTATTTTGATGATTTTAGCGACATGGCAGAGAATTGTCTGTGCCGGTCCACATCTTCGTATAGCCCTCATATAAAGGTACCTCCTGACATTCGGTATTTTTATGATTTAACCTATGTTATTCATCGATTTTTTTCAAGTTTCGCATTTGAATATTGTAATGGCTTATGACAAAAGTTGCCTATGCATGTCCACGTCGTCGTATTGACTCTAACAGAAATTTTAACGGATTTTATTTTTTGAAAATGGCCAAATTAGTTTCAAATGGTGGAGGCATTCAAAGTTCGGCCCGGCCGCAGCTTTTTTACTTGTTTCACATACAACCGAAATTTTCCAATTGCCTAAACTTGGTCAGATATATTTATTGCCCCAATAAATAATTTCTAAGTTATATCATGCACTATACAGCAATGTTATTTTGTACTTGAGGTACAAATTTGTTGGAAATCGATTCAGAATTGGATATGGTTCCCAAATTGTGACTACTCTAAAGCCATGATAAGCACAATACTCTAAAGTCATGATAGGCAAATAAGGTTCGTAGTTGTTGGTATGATCTACTTCACATAAATTCCCGCTATAATTTTTTTTGTTACGGTCCGCCCGAATAGTTGGTCCGCCCGACTTTTGAGCTGTCTTTACTGGTAAGAGCATGGTTTATTTGCGCAATTTCGATTTTTAAATTATTTATATTTCTACAGATTTTTTGTGAAACTCTCAACCGGTTTGTACTGCTTCTTTTTTTGCCACCCCATGAACCATTAAAACACAGAAAGGGGAAATTAATGTATTTTTCGCTTCATTCTTATTTTATTATTTATTTTGTCTTTAGGAAAAAAAAAAATATTTATTATTATTATCATTATTATTTTTTCTATGTACTTTATAATAATTATTAATATTACTTGTTAGTAATAATAATAAGATTTATACAAAGGTTTACTTTCATTTAAAAATATCGTATGTATACGTATAGAGACTAAAATGAAAGAAAGATGAGTTTCATAGTTTGAATTGATTTCTTATTTCTCAGTTGTGTTTATTTTTCTTGTTTTTTTTGTTTTAAATTTCATATCGTTTTTCTCTTCACACGTTTTGTTGTAAAAATTAATTAAAATAAAATTAATACAAGGGAAGACACATTTGTTTTATATTTTGTATGTAGTTGTAGTTGTATGTTCTTGTATGCTGTACTGTATTATCTTCTTAACAGTTAGTTGTTGTATGTAGTATGTATATGTTATGCATGTATAGTATATACCTATTATTAATTATTTAATTATTTATTATTATAATAATTTCATTTATAAATGTAAAAAGAGAATGCTTAAAAATCAGAATGTCAATGACTTATTTGTGTTTCATATTTACGTGGTTTTTTTGTTTATTTTTTAATTTTTATTTATTTTCTATAAATACAATACAATACAATATAAGTATAAAAATTGTGATATATTTTTTTGTTTATTTTTAAATTGGGATGGGAATAGTTTTTTTTCGTTTAGTTTTTTTTTCATATAACTAAATTCTTCTACAAATAAAGCTTAAATAATTCCGTTACTTTTACAAATAAAAATGATACAAAAATCTATGATTTTTCTTCTTCTTCGTTTTTTTAGAGATTTAAAAATTAGGATATGTTTATTTCTTGTATGATGGTTGTAGTTGTTTTTTTTTCTTATTTTTTTGTTAAATAAAGAAATTTAAAATATCTTAATTTAATTTACATAAAAAAAAAACAAATGTGTTATGTGTTTTTTTTTCATTACATAAAAAAATAATGGTTAATTTTTAAATAAATAAGCCAAAGAGTCAAAGATTTTTTTTTTAAATTAAATATTTTGATTTTTAAAAAATTAAATAAAATAATAATAAAAAAATTACGAATTACAATTAAAAATAATATTTTTTTTTCATTATATCTCTATATAATTGAATGTACTAACTAAAACACAATTAATAAAAAAAAAACATAAGCCAACAACAACTAAGTTTACAACTAATGAGCTTGCCATTTGAATTTCGACTCCATCAGCCACTGTTGCCCCCGCGAAAAGTTGCACGGACGCAGTAACGGTGTTGTGGGATCCTCTCTCGATGGCCTTTGTAGACAATTGCCGGTGTTTGTGTGTCGTATTGATTTGTCCTATAAAGAAAAAATAAAATATATTTGTTATTATCTTTATTAATAAATTGAAAATTGTAACCCTTTTTGGTTGAGGTGCCAGAACGGATTTTCAAATATCTATTATTATACCCTCCATCATACTATGAAGGGTATATTAATTTTGTCATTCCGTTTGTAACTCCTCGAAATACTCATGTCAGACCCAACAAAGTATATATATTCTTGATCAGCGAAAAATTCTAAGACGATTTAGCCATGTCAGTCTGTCCGTCTGTCTGTTGTAATCGTGCAGGTCCACGTCTTCGTGTAGCCTCCATATAACGGTACACCCCCCCCCCCCCATATTCGGTAATTTGATGATTTTAGCGACATTGTTTACCGGAATCGTTTCAAATTTGGTATTTGAAGTTCGTAATGGATACTACATACTAAGTCAAAAATGAGCCATGTAGGTGCACGTCTTCATATAGCCCCATATAACGGTACCCCCGATATTCGGTATTTTGATGATTTTAGCGACATTATTTAGTGGAATCGTTCCAAATTTTGGTATTTGAAGTTCGTAAAAGATACTGCAGCATAAAATAAAAAATGGGCCATATACGTCCACGTCTTCGTATAGCCCTCATATACCTTACCCCCCGATATTCGGTATTTTGATGACTTTAGCGACATTATTTACCGGGATTGTTTCAAATTTCGCATGTGAAGTTCGTAATAGATACTAGAGCCTATGACAGAAAATTGTCTGTGCAGGTCCACGTCTTCGTATAGCCCCCATATAACGGTACTCCCCATACTCGGTATTTTTATGATTATAGCTACATTATAAACAGATTTCACATTTAAATATTGTAATAACTTATGACAAAAGTTGCCTATGCAGGCCCACGTCGTCGTATAAGCATTCGGTATTTTTAAGATTTTAACAGAATTTTAACGGATTTTTTTTTGGAAATTTGCTTTTTTACTTGTTATCTTTACAACAGACTTTGCGTTAGCAAAAATTTTTGGATGTGGGAAATTTGAAGAGAGTTGAATGCTAATTTTGCTTTCTTAGAGCGTTTCGTTAGAATGGTCCGATCTGTGCCATCTTTATACCAGATCTTGTGGTGATGTAAATATTCAGATGTGCCAAATCTTTATGAGCTTCATTGAAATTCAAAAGGAGTGGACCAATATATTGCATCTTCACAGCAGATTTTGTGTTAGTAAAAATAATGTAATGTGCGAAATTTGAAGTTAACAGGATACTTATTTTGGATTTTATAATCGTTTTTGTTATTCGAAACGTTGGCCCCTTGTAGGGGAGATACCAGAAGGAAAGATTCGATCTCTACCATCTTTATAAAAGATCTTCTGTTGATAGAAATATTGAGATTTGCCAAGTCTAAATGGAATCGGATGTTAATTTCGTTTTTTAAGAGCTTTATGAATATTCAAAATATTGAACCTTTGTGGGGGAGGTACCCCAAGGAGTGGACCGATATATTCCATCTTCACAACAGACCTTGCGTTATCAAAAATAATGTGATCTGTATAATTAGAATACCTTGCGTTATCAAAAATATTGTGATATGTGTAATTCGAAGACAATCGGATACTTATATCACATTTTATAAGAGTTATACAGGGTGAGTTAAAAAACTGCAACAAAGTCAAACGCCATAATTTTTGCATTTTTTTTTAATTTTATTGAACGAAGGCAAAAAATTTCGGAATTAGCACCACATTTTAGAATAAGTTTAGATTTGTTCGAATTGGTCACGTTCTGCACGAATTATGGCCAATGAAACCGTCCAATGAAACCGTCACAAGCTGCCCGAATATTGCTCTGCGGTATTTTGGTCCATTCCCGGCGAAGGTGATCGACAATTTGGTATTTTTTAGTGCCAACCTTGCTTTCCAAAATACTCCAGACACAATATTCCAATGGATTGGTATCCAGAGATTTTGGTGGCCATTGTGGCCATGAAGCGAGGAACCTCGTTAGTAACAATTCATGGGTGGCGCGTGCTGAGTGCGATGGAGCTGAGACCTGTTGGAATGTCCAAGGTCTGCGGCCAAAATATTTGCGTGCCCAAGGCTTTAATACAACCTCCAGAATATTTTCGCGATAATTTTCGGCATTTATTCTGATGCCACTGTAGATTAATACGAGCGGAGAGAGACCATTGGCTGTTATGGCGGCCCACACCATCAAAAAGGCCGGCGATTGAGTTCTGGTGGCCAACCGAAGGTGTAATTTGCAGGTGCACAATTTCAGCTGACCTCTTTGGGAAGTAAACACGATCATTTTGTTTTATGTTTACAAACTGCTGGACAACGAATGTTTTCTCATCGGAAAAAAAACCAAATTCGGCAGTTCACCACTTTCGGCCGGCCAAGCGAAGCAACTCTAGCTCTTTTGAGTCTATTTTCTTTCTGTTGCGGTGTAAGTTCTTGCACTTTTTGGAATTTCAATTCACCCCGAGCCCATTTTTCAATATTTGCCGAATTGAATATTGCGATATGTTTAGCTCACGAGCCATTTTTCGGCCACTGCGACGCGGGTTTCGATCAAGTCGCTTCTTTACTTTTCGAACCATTTCTGCTGATGTTGCTGTTTTCTTCCGTCCACTTCCTTGACGTCGATCTACACTACCAGTATCACGGATTTATTCACATTTAAAGCTGAAGTGCTCTAACAATAGCTACTTGTGGTTTTCCAGCCAAATATAAAAAAATCCAGCTATCACGCTTGAATTCCATCACGAATAATTTTTTTTCTGGAAAATTCTCACCAAAATGCTTTTGTACGCTTGTAAACAATATAATGAGCAATCACTGGAATAATTTTAACAGCTGTCGGATGAGTGGCTTAGAAATGACAGCAGTCTGAAGTTGGTCGCAGTTTTTAATCTCCCTCTGTATTATTTATGGTTGAGGTACCAGAACGGGTAGGCAGATAATCTATTATCTTCACAACAGATTTCGAGTAACCAAAAATGTTTGGATGAGTGAAATTTTAAGAGTGTTGGATAATCATTCAGCGCTTTAAGAGCGTATTGCTTTTCAAAAATTGGAACCCTTTGTGGGGGAAGTTTAAGAAAGAGTGCGCCGATATATCCCATTTTCACAGAATATCTTGTGTTAGTAGAAATAATGGGATGTGTGAAATACGAAGAGAACCGGATGCTTATTTCGGATTTTATAATCGGTTTGGTTATTCAAAACTTTGACCCTTAGTGGGGGAGGTACCAGAAGAGATTGTCCGATCTCCACCATCTTTATAACAGATCTTGTGTTGATAGAAATATTGAGCTGTGCCAAGTCTGAATTTAATCGAATGTTTATTTCGGATTTTATAATCATTAGGTTATTCAAAACTTTGACTCTTTGTGGGGGAGGTACCAGTAGGAATGCTCCGATCTCTACCATCTTTATAACAGATCTTGTGTTGATAGAAATATTGAGATGTGCCAAGTCTGAATGGACTCGGATGTTTATTTCGCGTTTTAGGAGCTTCATGGATATTCAAAATTTTAATCTTTTGTGGGGTAGGTAACAGAAGGGGTGGTCTGATATATCCTATCTTCACACCGGACCATGGGTTAATAATAATGTTGTGATGTGTGTAATTTAAGGACAATCGGATGCTTACTTCGCATTTTATAAGAGTTATAATTATTCAAAATTTTGACATTTGTGGGGAAAGCACTTAACGGAGAGAACCGATATTGTCCATTTTCGCACTTGACCTAGCACTGACGCAAATATTAGGATTTGCAAAGTTGGGGCAAAATTGGACTATCCTTTCTCTTTCTGTGCAGTAAATTATTTTCTTTGAAAAATTTTGTTATTTTGTGGGGGAGGTACCAGAAGGAGAGGACGGATATTTCCCATCTCCGAACTCGATCTAAGTTTGACAATAATATTACGATGTACCAAGTTTGGATCATATCGGATACTTCCTTCGAGAGTTATCCAGCCAAATGAATGGGTGAACATCACTAGATCGACCCCAAATGTGCTGAAACGGATTTGATCCAAAGAGATCTTGGGTCTAAAACCATGAGCTACGTTTTGGCGTTTCAAATGATATTTACCCTCTCTAGCCATAGGGCCGAGGGTATTAAAACCGTCATTGTATTTTATATGTATCTACGGAATTCAACTCGATTACTTGACACATGTTTTATCAAAACGTTTATAAACCCTTCTTAATACTATTAAGAGAAATTTCCCTTATCGACCGATTGTACTACATACCTCTGAATCGTACACCCATTCCTGATTGCCGCCCATATTGTGACAGCGCACCATATTCACGGGACCCAGTGATTGGGCGGCATCCAAACACAAATCATCGGACATAATTTGATGACGTTTGGTATAGGCAAACACCTGATTGCCACCCAGGCCGTGGCAATAGCTCATGCCAATCTTTTCGCCATATTTACGGCCCATGGTATCCAAACAGGTTTCCAGTTCGGCATTGCGGATCTAAAACAAAGAAATAAAAAAATAGATTAACAAAAACATAAAAATATCTCGAATTTTCACACTCACCTCGCCCAAATAGTAATAGTCCAGGGGCATTAAACTCTCGGGATAGATATTTTCCAAATACCAACGGAATGATTTACACTTCAGGCGTTCACGCATAGCCCGACGTTCACTGACATCGCCAGCGGATGCTTTGCGAGCACCTATATAGCAACAATTTTTTTGGGGAAAATTAAGATTGGAAAAAATACGTTATTACAATTTTATAAAAATGTGTGTGTTTTTAAAATTTTGTTAAATGATTTTAATTTGTGTTACTGTGACTTGGTGTTAGTGCAATTTTTTTCTATTTTTTTAATTATTTTTTTTTTAATTTTGAGTGCATTTATTTTTTGTAATTTAAAAACAAAAAAATTGTATTTACATATATATACGCATGGTGTGGTGAGAGAGAGAAACAAAACGAAGGACAATTTCACAATATTTCAATACTAATATGTATCTGAGGTAATGCTCCAAAAATAATGAAACCAGTATTAAAACGTTTTAGATTAATTGCCTTGGGGAAGAGATTTGAAAGGTATATTTTCTATTTTTCTGAATTGGGGTAAAATGCCAAAAGGAAGTCAAAACAAGTAAAATAGTATCAGTCAGGTTTTGTCGGCAGATGTATACCCCCCCCCCAGCCTTGAGTTATGATTATTCAAACTGTTGACCCTTTTTGGGGGGAGGTTCCGAAGCAGTTGGACAATATTGACCAATTCGCATCTGACCTAAGACTGATAAAAATATTAGAACGTGCCCGATTTGGACTATATCGACTACTTCCTATACTTTATAAGAGATATGTGCAAATTTTTGGAAAAATGTGGAAATATGCGTGAAGTAACAGATATAGCGGACCGAATTATTCCATTTTCATACTTCATCTATAACAGATAAAAATATTGGTTTGGACAAAACTTGAAGGAAATCGAACACTAATATCCAATTTTATGCGAAATCATAAATCCCTATAAATTACATATTCAAATCAGATTTCCGGTTAAGAGAAAAAAATTTGAAGGAAATCGAAGATTTATATTCAATTTTATACGAAATCATAAATTCCGATGGATTACATATTTACAAATATTTAGATATAACAAGTTGTAAAGAATCGCCGACTTGTTTCGTAAGTTATGACAGATATAAGTATTGGAAATTGTGACCCTTTGTGGGTGAGGTACCAGAAAGGGCTGTCAGATATTTATCATCCTCACAACAGATCTTGCGTTAGCAAAAATATTTATATGTGAGAAATTTTAAGAGAATTGGATGCTTATTTCGCTTTTTTTTAGCGTGTTTTTTTTTAAATCTTGAATCCTGTGTGGGGGAGGTACCAGAAGAAGTGGCCCGATCTCTACTAACTTTATGACAGATCTTGTGTTGATGGAAATATTGAGATGTATAAAGTATGAATGGAATCGGATGTTAATTTCGCGTTTTATGAGTTTCATGGATGCTCAATATTTTGACCCTTTGTGGGGGAGGTACCAGAAGGAGTGGGCCGATATATCCCATCTTCCCAGCAGATCTTGTGTTAGTAGAAATAATGGCATGTGTGAAATATGAAGAGAACCTGAAGCTTATTTCGGATTTTATAAACGTTTTGGTTATTCAAAACTTTGACCCTTTGTGGGGGAGGTACCAGAAGAAATGGTCCGATCTCTACCAGCTTTATAACAGGTCTTGTGTTGATGGAAATATTGAGATGTTCGAAATTTGAATGGAATGGGATATTAATTTCGTGTTTTATGAGCTTCAGGGTATATTCACAAATTTGAGCCTTTTTGGGGGAGGTACCAGAAGGAGTGGACTCATATATACCATTTTAACGCCAGTCCCATATAGTTAATAAAAATATTGTGATGTGTGTGATTTGAAGACAATCGGACAATTACGTCACATTTTGTGGACTTGATGGAGTGGACTGATATTGTCTATTTCTGCATCTGACCTAGCACTGATGCAAATATTAGGATTCGCAAAGTTGGAGCAAAATCAGATTATCTTTTCTCTTTCTGTACAGTAAATTATTTTCTTTGAAAATGTTGACATTTTGTGTGGGAGTTACCAGAAGTAGTGGATCGATATTGTCCATCTCCGACAATAATATTACGATGTACCAAGTTTGGATGAAATCGGATTTTCCCTTCGAGAGTTATCGTGCGCACCAGCCAGCCATACAGACGGACAACGGCGGACAGACATCGCTAGATGGACTCCAAATGTCCTAAAACGGATTTGGTCCAAAGAGATCTTAAGAAGTTATTTTGATGGAACAGCCACAATTATTAGAAGAAGGCTAGATTAATAGAAATGCTTCTTTTAAAAAAAGGTTTTGTTTTAGAAATTCTGAGTGAAGGTCCTTCACAGAGTACATCGGTACGGTTAAAATAGAGACGTATTGAAAATATAATTTATGTACTGAAATTTTAATTCCAAATAGTTATTTAAAAATAGAAAAAAGTGCTCTTCCTGGCAGACCATAGTTCATCACTCATGCTGCCATATATTTATTTTATTTATCTTCCCACATAGTTGAAATTTTTAATATTGTTTAAATTTAAATATTGTTTATTTTAAATTATGCAATAGCGAATAGCATTCAATTATTCTAAAACATTTAATTAAAACTGGTTCATTATTTTTTGGCGGGGCGGGAAGGCAACATATTGAAAACTAAATTAGACAAACAAAATAAGCGTTTGGTTTTGTGCTCATGGGATTTTTTTTTTTTTTTGTTTTGAGGGGGGAGAAGATTTTTATTTGATGCTGATGATGCGGTTTGGGAACACACTCTATAGAGGGGGTAAGAAAACAAAAAAACAATAACGTTGTGTTGATGTGCAAAAACAAAAAAAAAACATATAATTAATATTCGGTGGTGGACATTGACAAAACAAATAAGACTGAAAAAAATAAAAACAACAAAAAATTATGGGTTACATGTAAAAATAAAAAAAAAATAAAAATAAGGATTGTCATCCTTTCTATAACCGACACCACAGAAATAATAACAATAAGAAAAAAATGATGTTAGCAGCACAACATAAAATAATAAATTTTTAAAAATACCCTTTGCAGACCGGCTTACGTCGCAAAACTGTTTTTCAACAATTCACGTTTATAATCCTGAAGGTACTTTAAAAATGTCACGATAATAGTCTTATGGCCCTTCAATATTATTTTTAAAGGTATTTTTTAAATCAAATTATAGCTGTGCCTTTAAAAAAATTAAAAAAAAAACAGTATTTCTGCGTTCATAGTCCTTAATAAAGATTCACAACGGTAGCCAGAGAGTCGTCATAAGTACTTTTTAAAAAATTAAAATCATAGAACTAATAGTTCTTAAAAAATATTTTTAAAATATATACTATTGTTGGTCATATTTTTTTAAAATCTGTAACTGCAGAAAAATTTTAAGGAGACTTATAAAAAATAATATTATTAAAAATTTTTGGACCTCATTTTTAAACAGCCCAGGCATTAAAAAAATTAAGGCACTAAAATATTTTTAATAAAAACCATAATATTATTTAAATAGTTATATATGAATTAAAAAACTATACGGAATTTTAAAATACAGAGTGAGATGAAAAAAATGCAACCAACTTCAGACTGCTGTCATTTTTAAGCCCCTCGTCCGGGCTTAAAATTATTCCAGCTCATTATATTGTTTACAAGCCTACAAAAGCATTTTGGTGAGAATTTTCCAGAAAAAAAGTTATTCGTGATGAAATTCAAACGTGATAGTGTGATTTCTTTATATTTGGCTGGAAAACCACAAGTGGCTATCGTTTGACCACTTCAGCATTTAAATGTGAATAAATCTTTTGTGTATCGTGCCATCGCTCGTTACCGTGATACTGGTAGCGTAGCCCGACGTCAATGAAGTGGACGGAAGAAAACAGCAACATCAGCGACAGTTCCGATGATATTTCTAAGGTTCTTAGAAAAATGTTATTTAAAAAGTCTACGATTTCGTTTCTGGGGTCTAAGAAAACATCTTTTTTTTAAATCCACTTTTTAATACCGGAAGACCATAAAAAAACACCATTTTCGATGGATTGCCTGAAGGTCTATTTAAATATTTTACCATTATGGCAAGAAAGACCATTGGAAATATTTTTTAAAAATGCAGTTATTTTGGCCCAGGTGACCCATGAAATTTTTCTTTAAAAATCCATGATTATCGCTTTGGTGGACCTTGAAAATCTTTGTTAAAAAATCCACGATTATGTTCCTAAATATTCTTTTAAAAATATTTTTAAAGAAATCCACGATAATGGCTCTCAGGTAGCCCTTAAAAATAGTTTTCTACGTTTTAACCATGAAGAAATATTCGTTAAAAATCTACGATTACAGTCCAGAAACCCTGTTAAAATAGTTTATAGCTCTGCAGACACTTCACAGAATTGTGTTTAAAAATCCACGAAGGTTAATGGTCTTATAAGAACACATTAATAAGGCTCAGAATTTCAGCCTTAAAGGCCCATGAAAAATATTCTTTCGAAAATCTTCGAATACGGCGGTGGAAAATTATTTTTCAAAATCTACATTTATAGCCCGAAAGACTTAAACAATTGTAGACCACAGCCCTGAGTGTAGCTTAAAATTATTGTTTAAAATCAACGATTATAGATGCTAAAATCCTTTGCAAAATTCACGTCTTAAAGGACCTTTAAAAAATTGCTGAACTTCTGAAGGATTCTTAAAAAATCTTTTCCAAAAATTTAAGATTTGACATCGAAATTTGAAAATTCCAGTCCTTAAAACCATTGTACAATAAGGAGGTAGAACAGCTTCGTAAAACAACAAAAATACTATTATTGTTTTCATATTTTTCCTCAATTTTAAAAGGTGTTATATAGCGCAAAAAATGAATAAAATGTCTGGATTTTTCTCTCAAAAGTATAATCCTAACTGCTCAATTTTTCAATTTCATGGCTATACTGTCTAATAGCTTTAATGCGCGAGCCGCAATTTATGTGTCTTCCAATTCCAATTGATTGTGAAAATATTTTTTTTTTTCATTTTTCAAAATAATAAATACATACACAAAATCGGCAGAAGTCGGGCACACTTAGAAAAAATTGCAATCAGCTGTTAGCTCTACCTTAGCTTTTAATTGTACCATGCTTAAAACTGTGTTTTTTTA